CATCCCGCTACGGCCTCATATCTACCCTTTTGTTTATTCCGGCCAAAAATGTACTATGTCCTAAGTTGGAGACCCAGGTATCACCATAGGGATTAGACTTGGTCACTGTTGTCAAGAAGCCCGGGCGAGGGAAAGATGGAGAGAATTTCTATACCATCACCCTCCACAGATCATCAACAGCACCACTGAGGGACCACCAGCTCCCTCCAAGCCTTGTGGCCCCTACTGCCAGCACTTCTACTCTACTCTACTCTCCCTCCCATTCTGCTTTCCCTAGTTCGCAGCAGCCCCAGCCAGATGAAGCTCTTCTGTGAACCCCTAACACTGCCCAGCACTGACTCAAGACCTAAACAGCCAAGCTTTGCCTGGCATCAAGAAGCTCCACTTCGTCTCACCTCCAGCTGCCTTCTTCCCTTGTCCATTTTCCTGCCATTTAAGTTATCAGCCCTTGGGCTGGATTCCCAGGGGTAAGGGTCCCTGCATCCAGAACACAAAGATCTTGGGGTCTCAATTTGAAGTTTTGCTCACCCTGAGGGCTCTAGTCTCCCCCTATTCAGGACCTACTTACTCCTAAATTTGAACAAGTCGCTCTCTCCTCCTCTATTTAGTCCCCTTCCTGGCTTACTTTCCTAGTACTATGAAGTCATTACTACCTCTCTGGCTCTGCTCTCCCAGTCTAGCCCTTCCCAAGCCATGTTACCAATTCTCTGGGACATTCTCAGTCTTCATTTGCCTCCTTTACTCCAGCTAACCCAGCCCTGCCCTTGAATCACACTACTAGGACTTGTGCATCTACCCTACGCTATCACCTCTGAGCAGAGGGTCACCCTCTCTGCTCTGGTCCCCTTGTTGACCCCTTCAATCCAGTGACATCAAGCCTGGCTCAAAGCTTTAGCAGCAGGTGGAACATATGGTGCAGTGGCTATAACCACAGCTGAAGGAGGCTGGCTAGAGTGTGAATCTTAAGGAGTGTGATCCTCACTGAGTATCTTGGCTTCTTAGAACCCCAGTTCCCTGACAGCTACTTATAGCCCTGTCATATTAAGAGCTATTTCACAAAGGCTTAGCTTGGGCCGCACACTCGGCAACTGCTCTATGACTGTTACTGGTTATTAGCAGCCAAGACACAGCTACTAATGACTGTCCCTTGGCATAGAATATCCATCTACACTAATCTCTGAAGATGCAGCTCCTCCCCACCCATCCTTCAGGTTCAAACACCCTCTAGGGAGCCTTTCAGGTGACTTGGCAGCACTTTCTCACTCCCTGCAGGCTCCCCTGCCTTATCAAATCTGACTGTACTAGCAGCAGTCACTTTGCCAAGAGGCCCAAAGGACTGTTGCAGTACCACTTCCTGTCTCTAGATGGTGCACCTGCCCCACTCACACCTCAAGACTCAACACGTTTCCAGAGACATCCCTGATAGGCCAGGGGTCTGTGCCTATCACAAAGCCCATCTCCATGTCCTTGACCCTAGCAACCTGGGCTACCAAAAGAAACACCCAAAGTAGGTTAGAGGGAGCAAAGGGTGGAACGTTTACTTGAACCAAGCCTGGGTTCCAGGATTTTCCGTAGTATCATTTCAGCAGTCCTCACGAAACTTCCAGCCCCACACTCTCTTCCATCCACAAAAGAATTAGAATGCCATGGTCACCCTGCTGAGAAGCTCTCAGGGGCTCCCTATCCAACTCTAAGATGAAACTAGAATCCGCAGCCCAGTATGCAAGGCAGTCTGATAGCCTGACTCACACAACACTGCCCAGATCTATCCATACACACACCTCACGTCTTCACATCCCCAGCCTCAGCAGGGGCCAGAGCGCAGACAGAGAGGCACCCACTGAGTATCTGCAAGGCAAAGGGAGGAACAGATCCAGGTTTGGTCCAGCCCACCTTGCCAGCCCTGCCCCCTGCCACATAGTCACATGGAACTATAGCCAAACATGCCACACACTCCGATTTCCTGCCTCTGTGTAAACCACTTCCTCTGCCTGAAATATACTCTTACCCTATTCCAGAATTCCTGAGGCTGGAAAACTCCTATCCACACTGTAAGACTCAGCTAAACTCATCCCCTTAAAGCCTTTGGATGCTCCTTACCAAGCTGTCCCTAGATATCTCTAGATATCCCTGTTCCAAACACCCACCAAGGGAGCAAGTCTTGTTTTGCATGGTAATGAGGCCTCCCTCTCTCTCCCCACAGTCCAGCCTCAAGGCAGAAAGATCTAGAATTCTGTGCACGCAGAATGTTCTTAGCACGCTCAGTGAAGGAATACGCATATACACAGCTCCCTGCCATGTGGAAGAGAGGCAGCCAATAAGGAAACAAGGTTCCTGGGAAGTGTGTGGGGCACAGAGACTCCCTTTCCACCTGAGCAACCCCCACTTCCATAAGGACAACATTTCTAACCCCTTACCCTGCCCTGACTGGTAGTTAGGGAGCAGACTAAGAGAAGCCTCAGCCACCGCCTTCTAACAGCCCCATGCCAAGCTAGATCTGGGAAGTAGCTGAACCAGTTACTAGCTAGGAGACAAGACAAGCCCTAACACAATTCAAGGAGTGGTAAGGTTGGCCAGTAGTGGGGAAAGGCTTCCCTGGTCTCCCAGGAAACCCCAGGTCTACTGCAGGAGAATCAGCCTACTAAAGCTGTTAAGGCCAATAAGGGCGTGAGTGTCCTGACAGTAAGAGATGCTATATACCTTGGTTCAATGCAACAATTTTAGTTGTGTCTAACCCTGAGATAAATGTCTGGGTTCTCTCTACCTGCCTGCTCCCTTTCTTCCCTATCAGCAATTATCTGGATATCTGTGCTACAAGAGCTACACCAGGATTGAGCTGCAACAGCACAGAAGAGGTAGAGCCAGAAACCACACCAGGGAAATGGCAGTGGCAAGAACTCTGGGTAAAGGAAAGATAACTCAGGACCTGCCCTCAAAGCATGAGTACCAGGAAAGACAGAGGAACAAGCCAGAGTCCAGGGCATCTCCTCTGGGTGTGCACCACTGTCCAAAGACAAGAGCACAGTCTGCTTGGAATCTGAAGATTTCTGGTATGATGGTCCTAGGACTGGCTCCATTCTCCCTTCTGTAAACACCTCACAGGGTTCTGACAATACTGTGCTGTCTGGCCATATCAAAGTGAGTCACCCAAGGACCCTGCCTGGCCAGCACTTCACTGGTATTAGGAACAGGACAAGATTACCATCTTTCAGGATCAAGGTAAAAGAAATGGTGTACATCGAGTTCGGTACCAACAGCCATCCCCAACCCCACAACAACATAGAGAGCTGGACCATCTGCCAGTCCCAGGGCCTGAGGGCTGCCCTGGTTCCTTCCATGCCAGGCAACCTAACCCAGACCTACACAAAGTAAGGGGAGAAGTAAAGGTAGTGTCCTTCGCTTGTACTCCCAGGGGAATAGAACAGTGGTGCTTTTTCATTGCAGAAGTTGGACAATGGGCCTTGTTTACTCTCCTGGATGCTACAGACTAACACCAAGCCTCAGGGGCAGCTGATGCCCAAAGGCACATTGGGGCAGGCACTAGCCAGGACAAGTGCTAATACAGATAACCAGGCCAGAGGTCACGACCCATACTTCAGGCTTGGAGGAAAAAGGAGGCAGCAGGATGCCAGCCTCAGGGAGGCTGGTTTCAGCTTCCTGAGACTTTCCACCTAGAATTCTTTCAGAAAGCTTGCTCTCCTTCCACTCTCCAGAAACATACTCCTAACAACAGCTAATATCTGACAAGGCCTCACCACTGGCACCAGCCTCCGCCTTCTACTAATCTGCTCATCAAATCTGAACAGCACTGCATGGCACACACTACTCTCAACCCCATCCCTGAGGCCCAGGAAATAAGCCATTCAGCAAAGGTTACACAGAAAGACAGCGCTAGAGCAGGATTCAAACCTAAACAGATCTGCTCCAGAGCTGGATTACACAACCCATAGCCACTCAAAAGTCTGAGAACTAGGCCTTGGCTAGAAACAGGGTACACAATGGCCTTTCCCTACATCGTGCCTCCTGACACAGCCCAGCAACCTGGGCGGGAAGGCAGGGTTTCAAAGTAGAGGCCCAGTGATAAAGAATTTCAGAGGCAAGGCCAGATGTCTCAAGTGCTAAACAGCTATTCGGGGTCAAAGATTGGGCCTTATGCTCACCATTTAGTCCCACAAAAAGTAAAAGCCTAACATGGGGTGTGGGTCAGCATGTACAAGACCCTAGGTTTAATCCCAATCACCAAAAATAAGACCAAGGAAGAAAAAAGAAGAACCTGAGATAAGGGATTCTTTCTTTCCCATTCAACACACAAACAGACAGACAGATGAGGTGACTCACCCAGAGTCACAGACTGGTAAGCAGTGGGGCCTCAGTTCAAACTCAAAGGGTGAATCCAAAGCCTTCTCCAATCACCTCACCTTACCCCCTTACCAAGGGCAGCACTAATGGTCAGATAAGGGCTTGTTTTTTCAGACCTGTCCCACAGATTACCTGCTCTACAGCAAAAGCCTGGCCAGTACCAAGGTAACTGGGGTAAGGGACAGACTGTGCCTAGCCCCTAAGCTCCTCATCCCTTCCCTGACTCTTATCTGACCTGAGTGCCTCTGGGAGATCATGAGGGGCTATTCACATGCACAGAGAAGGGAGGGTGGCACAGGTCTAATAGAGCTCCAGGCTTCAATTCTCATTTGTAAGAGAAGCAGGGACTTCCATGACAGTCTAGCCTCCTAAAGGCAGACCCCAGTGCGCCACCAGTTCCCCAGCACCATCTGTGGTAAGGGCAAGCACTTGCTGCTAGGTGGTAGATAACAGCAAATCCAGGTTAGTCTTGGTCTGGTAAATGCTACTCGCTGCCCTATCCTCTTATTTCAGCTGGGCTCCCACAGAGCCGGTAGGCAGGTTGCTTAACCACAAATGCATCATCTATGAGGCAGAAGCAGAAGGTGGATTAAGAAATGAAGGACCAGGCTGACCAACAGACAAGACAAAGCCATGGGCATTGAGATAGCAGTCCAGCCACTAGCTCCTGTCCTCAGGACAGGATCAAGTAAGGCACACAAGCTTTCTTACCCCTCCAACACTAAGGGTTCCCCTCTAACAATGATGGTTCCAGATCCACGCCCAGAAGGAGAAGCCGCAGTCCATGGTCAAACCCAAGCTGCCATCTGATAAAGGGCACTGAGGGCAGAGTAGTTTTTTCCTACCAGGACCCATCCTCACTGCTAGGTGAGGGCAGTGCAGACCAGTTATGCGTGAGGATGGGTAGGTCTGTGACTGACACCACACTGACCCTCATGTCTGGAACTCAGGTATCTTGAATTCTGGGCCCTAGATTGGAGAGGGACATGTATGAGCCACTGCCAGGGCCTGTTCAGTTGCCAGCACACGCTCTCTCCTTCCTCCTTCAGGCCCAGAGAATGGACGTCCCTCTTCCTGCTTCACAGAAACCGTATGCCCAGACCTCAGCCTTCCCCCATACAAGAGGACTCCAGGATCAAGAACCATCCAACATGAAGGAGTCTTCAGCCACTGCCACCCTCCTGCCTCAGTGCTATGCCTTCTTGTGCTACTTTCTAGCTCCAAGTGTAGACAGGCACAAGACTTTTCTCAGTAACCAGCCTCCCCTGACCTAACCCAGGCTATGCCTAGGAAGCTGTCAATCCACACCTCAAAGCCAGGTGACACTTCTAATGTGGTTATTCACTGCCCTACTCACAGAGCCTGAAACAGTCTCACTGTTTCACTCCTCCACATACTCCCAGGAGCATATACTCCCTGTAATGCTGGATTGCAGAGGGAGAAGTGGAGGTGAGATACTCAATAGGTCGGTCTACACCCTCTCTTTATCCAAGAACCAGATACACAGGGCCCCACATTAGACACAGCTAGCAGAGGCAGCCTAGGGAGCACCAAGCCTAGGTTCTCAGCCACCTGGCATGAATAAATCCAACCAGGACCATGTCAGGGCATCCAGACACTTTCACCCTGACAGCTCCTGAAGGCTGGGCCCTTGGCCCCCACACTGCCCTGGTACTCAGCACACAGACTGGCACAAATCCAGTGCTCGAGAATCTGTTGAAGGAAGACAAGAAAGTATGAGATCAGTACCTCATTCCTGCTATCTGCACCTCCTCCTCCCACCTACTCTAACTCCATCCCTGCTCCTATAACATCAGAATGTAGCTCAGGAGGTCTCAGGTCCTTCTAGACCAGATGGTCTGTAATTGTCATGAGTACCTGAAGACAAAGGTCTACGGTTCCTATTTACAAGCCACAAGGAATAAAATGCACCACCTAGGTCCCAGAGTAGATAAGGATCCATGTCCCTGAGCCATTCCAGTGTGAGGGTATGAGCCAGCTCTAAATGTGGTATCTTCTGGAATGACATAGGACTAAGGTAAAATCACAAGGGTCACCTTAAACTGTCCATTCATCCTTTACGTTTGCCAAATGTTAACAGGGTCTAGGCCCAGGTCACAGTGCTTAGCCTACCCACATCAGCATATGCTAATATGTTTCTCTCCACCCTTTCCTTAGCAGTTGTTAAACATGTTGAGAGCTGGATGCTGGAATGAATGCCTCACCTTGTCGCTTCACTGAACCTTTGCCAGCCTAGGTTCAGTGAAGGAAGCATTTTACCACCACTTTACAAATAAGGAAACGAGGCTCAGAAACATTATGTGCTTTTGAGCCCAGAATACCTGCTACCATGGGCTTTCCCATCCTGGAATTAGCACCTGTAACCCAAGAGGCTTCCAGAACATGTAGAAGGGCTAGGGATATAGCTCAGTGACATAGCTCTTACCTAGCAAGCAAAGTCGTGAGTGATTCTCAGTACCAAAAAAAAAAAAAAAAAAACTGAACAGAATATGTGGAAATGCTGAGGAGAAAAAAGGCAAACACAAGGGGCCTTGTGAAGGTGGGGCCAAGTGAAGGAGGTGCAAGGAGCAGAGAAGGGCAAAGGAGAGCCAAGAACATCCACTACAGGATCTGACACAGTAAGAGCCAGGCCTCTAGTCTAACAGCTTCCACAGTCCAGCATCTGTCCTGTCCCACCTGGCATTAAGTCAGTGCCATATCCCAGCATTGGCTATAAACCTTCCTGTCTCATTCCTCAACCAGCCCATGGCACACAGCCCATCTCTTCCATGGTCTCTCTACCTCATTTCCTTCCCTCTTCCTCTTGCCCTCCAGGTAGCTGCCTAAAATGAAGCTGGAAAAGGGTGCCATTCCCTTCCTGTCAGCAACCCCCCCCAAACCTGGCCCAAAGAAACTTTCTACCTCTTTCTCCACCCACATGTCCATTGGCTACCCTTCCTTACCATCTCGTCTCCAAGCCTTTGCTCCATAGTCAAGTGGCCCTCTATGGCAGTTCCAAATCCTGCTCATTGTAAGAAAGCTCTACTAAAACCTACTCTTCTTGAAGCCTCACCAGCAGACTGGAGGCCCCCTCCCTAAATCTGAACCTCAAACTTCTGTAGGCATGAAAGCCAGCGTTTTGTTAGAGAATGACTCATGTGAGGCTAACTTGCCACCACACAATTTCCTGAGCACAGGGCAAGGTCTGTTTCCCCTGCAGAGTACAGCTGAAAGCAGCACCTGGCACACACAGAGAATCAGCACACCCTTCTCTAAGCTGAGTGCACCTAGTGAGGCCTGATCAGCAGGCATCAGGCAGGTTTGAAGAACTGCCCACTTGAACTCTCCAGACAAGGAAACTGTGAGTGGGGATTCCAAGTCCATGGTTTGGCAACAGACTGAAGAGTCCTCGGCAGGCTGTCAGCCCATCCAGCTGTAGGCAGCATCACCCCATAGCATGGCAAGAGACCTACATTGGCAAGCCCTGACTCACTGTAGCTGTAGGACAGCCAGACGCCCACAGGGTGCCTGTGATGCTGGATTAGTCTCCAACTCCAGCATCCTGGACATTCTGAGTATCTCATCTAGTTCCACTTGGCCCTCTTCCAATTAGACAGCTTGAAGTCTAAGGAAATGTCACATCACTGGGTCAGGAGGCATAGAATGCTGGAGAGATAGGATTCCATACCCCATGCCAAGAGGTTGCGAGGGTTTATACACAGCAGGAAAGCTGAGAGAGGGAAAGCACAGAAATAAGACATAACTTCGAAGAGTGTGCAGAAATTGTGGAGACGAAAAAAGGACAGCAAGAGGAGCAAAGAGACCCAAGTCCAGGCCGAAGCTAAGGACTCCCAGTGATATAGTCCACTGCTCTAAGAAATGCCATTAGCAAGCAGAATCAGTTCTAGGCAAGTAGAAGTCAGCTAATAGATGCCTGAAGCAGAAAACTAGGCTAAATATGGAAGAGGTTTCAAGTTCAAAGCGGAAGTAGTCTACAGAGCCAGGTCAAAGGCTTTCCCACCCATTCCCCAGAATGCACCCCCACCCAATCCCGTCCCCAAACCCCACCCCGCAAGCCTGGCCCAGGTCCATCCATGGGGTAGAACTCCATGGAGGCTCCTTACCGTGTGAGGGTTGTCATAATAGACAGCAATGGAGCGGAGCTTGGGGGAGATGCAGCAGCTCTCAGTGAAAAGCTGCCCGGTGTCGTTATAGGGCCCCACATGGAACTTGTAGGCCACAGTGATGTTGCGGATGAGGGGCGAGCCAGCACTCACTGCCACCCCAGTCAACAGGCCTGAGTACCCGGCAAAGGCCAGCAGGGTCAGCAACAGTAGTAGAGTCAGGCCCCCAATAAGGCCTAGTAGTAGCAGGTCCGACATGGCGCTGGGCCCCCCACACCACACCCCAAGGCAGCTGCAAAGGAGACAGAAGGGAGAGGAGGCTGGTATCCTGCTCTGACCATGTTCACCTGCCTGCCGGCGGGTTCTGACCCAACCTTAACCTTAACCTGCCTTGGTTGCTCTGACCCAGAAGGGGGAAGGCCAGAAGTGTTTACACATAGAGTGACCCAGAAGGGAGCCACAAAGGATGACTGAAGTCACAAGCCTCTATTTCTTAATCACTGTCATTGAAGCTCTTGGAGCAGCTCGATCTGGCAGCTGACAGCCCTGGTCACATCTGGAGAAACTGAGTCATAGAGAGGCAGAGGAGTGAGTCATCCAAGGACAAAGCATTCTCCCTGAAGATGGACCAGCTACTACCAGTCTCTTTCCTCTCACTGCCTCTTCCTTCCCACAGCTGAGCCACTGTCAAGCCCAGCCTCTCCAAGCCTCACACACTACAACGAGACTGGGGACAGACAAGTGTCAGGGTCCAAACACACACAAAAAGGAAAAGCATGAGGCAAAAAATGTGCTGCAGGAAAAACATTCTATAGGAAACTCCTTTGCTGATAAGCACATCTGGCCTATAGGAACCTTGCTATCCATAAGCTTATCCATTCAGCAGTAGTCTGAAGAGCTGAACAAAGCCCAACCTGAGCTTTTCAGACAGGAACCACCAATGCTAACAAACTTCACTGTACTTCCCCAGCCCACAGATTAGAAACAGAAAGAGGAGGAAAAGGCTGCTAGACGTGGAAACACAAAAGAAGAGGAAGTAACCGTCACTCTTAAGAGGCAGAGAAACTATACAGGACAGGTCCAGAATCAACACAGAGGCCAGTGTGTGAATCGTTCAAGGCCACCATGGAGCTCTGAGCCAGAGGCCTAACCCTCTTCCAGAGGGCTTCACCTGAAGGGGACGGGAGGGAGGCAGGACTCACAGCACACAGAGCAGAGTACTGTTTACACAGGAAAGGAAACACAGGCCTGCCTGAGGAACACTGCCACTTCAGTCACTTAAAAAATTAGTATTTACTGGGGTCAGGGATTTAGCTCAGTAGCTAAGTCCCTGCCTGGCAAGTGCAAAGTCATGAGTTCGATCCCTGAACCAAAAACAAAATTAGTATTTACAACTTAAAAGGTTTGGAACTGAAAAGGCAATGCTTCAACCCTATGGAAAACTTAGCTCTAAGGAAATATTTGTTCCCAGTGAAAATATTACGCAGAAAATTTGTCTTTGGAATAAACAAGCACATTCTGTCTCACAAAAAAGCCAAGTACATCTCTAAATCTCTGCTGTCAGAGAATGAAGCACCTCCCACCAGTCTTCTCACCACTGTATCCCTGCCTGGCAGTTTCATTATCTTCCTTGCATGCACTCCCTGTCCTACTCATTGTGTCTTCACTTAGGTTCATCCCTGTTTTCTTAATGATAATAATAGTCTACTGAAACCCAGCTGCTATACCCATCCCCAACACAATCCAACAAAGTAGGTACAGATCAGGAAACAAGTAATGTAGTTGGAAGTTAACATTTATTCAAGGACACACAGGTTTTAAAAGGAGGAGCCACCTGAACCAAAATTCAGGCAATGAAAACCCTAATTCTACATCCTCTCCTTCTTGGCTTCCAGAAAAGACCAAACATTTACTCCATGTTGGACATCTCTGAACCCAAAAGCTGCGAAGCTCTCAGCATCTAGGCCACCACTTGCCTTGGAAGTGATAAACTCTCACTCTGACCTATCCTCTTAGAGGCATAATTCCTGTTTCAAGGGAACTTAAGTAATCTCAGCATTCTGGGAGGCTGAGACGGGGGATCAAAAGATCTAGCCCAGTTTGGGCAACTTATTGAAATCTTTTCAAAATAAAAACAGGGCAGAGGATGTAGCTCAGTGTGAAGGCCCTGAGGTCAGTATCCAAAAAAGAAGGATTTAAACTTCCATCTTTCTCTTCCTCTGGACTCCCAAACTGTTCTGAAAAGAAGGGGTGAGGAATGTTCCTGTGGGCCCCAGAGGCTTGGTCAGCACCACAAAGACAAAGGGCAATGCATTTCCCCCACAAGCGAAGAGGAAAGGAAGGGAAAGGACCAGGGCTCACCTTCTCAGGCAGGCTGACTTTTAGCAACTCATGGCATCCAGGGCAGCAGGGGCCAAGTGCTCCAGTGCTGCGGGCGGAAAGGAACAGTTACCCCAGCCCAGGAAACAACCAGTCAGCAAGGGCTCATGCCCTGACTAACCCCTTTCCAGGGAAAGCCCACCGGGTCTCGGTAACCACCTAAGATTCCTTGGGAAAATCTGAGGCTAAACTTAGCCTCAAAGTGTTGGGGCTCTTTACTAGAGCCCAGCTCAGGATCCTGTCCTGGAGAGCTCCAGTCAACACGCATTGAGCCGAAACAGCCCCTCCTTTCAACCTTGGGCAGGTTGTGCCTTCTCGTGCCTCAGTTTCCCTTCGGGTCTGAAGCGCTGGACAGAAGTCTCCCCCAGGAGCAGGCAGGTGTCGGGGAGGCTGCCAGAAGCAGCTTCCTGAGCAGGTTCGCGTGTGCCTCGGCCCAGGGGCAGGCCCCTAAAGGACCCCACACCCGCAAAACTTGGAGCCAAAGCGGACAGCGCTGGTCGCGGCTCCGCGCACCCGCACTGGAGAAGGGCAACGCCTGCGGCTCTGGGCTCTCAGCTTCCCATCTCTGGAGCCTCTCTCGGTTGCTCGGCCCCTTCTCTTCGCCCACCACCTCACAGAGGCTACGCACCTCTGCAACTTATGGGAAACCAAAGTTTGCTGATGGGAGGAGCGGGCGGCCTCTGCAACAGAGCGGAGTTAAAGGTGACTTCTCGCCCCTTCTTCCCCGTCTGCATGGCCTCGGTGCACCGACCAGGTTCGCCTTCGGGCCTCGGACCTGGCGGGCTAGGTGTTCGCGCGAGACGAAAAATTACAGAACCGTCTAGGCTGGGAGACCACAAAGGGGTCGCGAAGAGCCCTGAGGTGCAGCCTGCGCGGAAAGGGAGCCCAGGCCCACACCCCGGCGACGGGGCCGCCCCTGCTCCGCCCGGCCCTCACCTCAGCCGCTGCCTACAGACGCCGAGTCGGGCCGCCGAGCCTGCGTGTGCCCGCTGCTCACGCTCGCCCCGCCCCCTCTCGCGGCGGGAGGCGGCCAGGGCCGTGGGCGCCTGCGCCAGAGACGCTGGAGGCGGAGGCCTGCCCCGCCCTGTCTCCGTGGCAACACGATTATACCCAGCTCACCCGGCAGGGGCGGAACCCACCAAAGCTTATTTTCTTCCAGCTACCCAACTATGGAGGGGACCTGAGCTACACCCCGGAGTATCCGGGTTGGTGGAGGCATCCAAGCAAAGCTGGGCTGCACCATGGGGGAAGTCAGCTCAGTGGCCCGCGACAGAGTGCCAGGTTGGGGTTCAGGTTAGCGAGGAGGGACACCTCTGGGTCAGCCTCTAGCATTTGCACCATCTTTGCTCCTGCTGCTTTCTCTCACAGAGGCTTTATGGCAGGCCTGGGAACCAAGCAGGGCAGGACCACCTGCTGCCCCTTACAGAGAAAGCTGAATCCCATCTGGGCTTTGGAAAACTTGTGGATCCAACTTGTAGACAGCGCAAGTATCTGCTTCTTGACTCCACTCATCCATGAGTAATGTCGACCCAACATTTATGGAGTACCATTTCCTGAAAAGATAGCTTCAGGGGCTGGGAATACTGAGTGGGACAAAACCAAAAGCTTGATCCGCCTGGAGCTCATACTTTTAGGGGCATCCCCCCCCCCACCCCTACCCCGAGAAGCCTAGCAGAGGACGTGGGGGAAGTGCCTACCATTCACATAAACTTGGCAATAAGACAAACTGGGCCAAGGGTATCTTGGTGCTTCTGACAAGGATTGCTGTTTGAGACATACAAAGAAAGTAGATGCAGAAAAAATCAGCAACCACAGGGCAGTATATCTTATGGATCCCATTATTGCACAGACCTGTCCACAGGACAGTTTGTCCCACTACTCCAGGCAAACTGACAGAATAGGCATTCAGAGAAGGGCCAGCAGGCCATGATTGTTGACTTAGCTATGAGTATCAACCACATATTACCAGCCGCCCCAGGCAGATGGTGGATCCACTTAGAAGCATTTCCTGTGACACACGGAGGGCGCATGGAGGTAGTAGATAAGAGAAAGACACCTTCTGCCTTCAGGATTTGCACTGTGATTCCTACTTCTTCAAAGTTGGTAAGCTTCTCCCAGGAAACCACTGTCTGGATTCCCCTTTCCTCATCTTGTCATCTCTGCTCACTTCCTTAGCTTGGTTGGAGATTCCAGAGCCCCACAGCAAAGTTCGACATGTGCCTCAGGAGCTTCAGCACTGTGGTATGGAAGGATAGTCTGCCTGCCGCTGGGGCTGCAGGCCATCTGCCTGCTAAGCTGTTTCTAAGCAGTGCAGGCGTCATCCTTGGCAGGACCAGGACCCCTGCGAGACCCCAATTTACCACCCGGAGGCAGCAGCGTACTTCGAAAAGCACTTTTCTCACATTTTGAAATAGGTCCGAAATTGCTCACCCAGACTTCCAATCACTCTTCACTCCCATTCCTACATGACAATCCCTATCATTAGCCCAGATTTGGACTTTGTCTCCTCTTACCCTCTTCTGATCCATTAATCTCCACAGAGACTCTTCGGTTCCCCTTGTACATTTCTAGAGAATGTTTCCCCAGGAAATTCCCCTTAAACTTGCATAACTAGAATAGCCTATCTCCTTCTTCCCTAACTTACATGACAGAGAGTGCACATGCAGCGCAAATGCTTTCCAATGCTGCCATCAACAATCACCTGAAGACACACCATCGCCCAGCTGCTGGTCCAATTCTCAGCCACTCACAGCCAGGACAAGGCCACCCCTGCAGGACTTGCCATGGCTGGGGACCAGCTAGCTTCAAACACACTAAGGTCAGCTTCACTGTTTCCTTAAGAGCCTGGAAGTGCAGTAGTAGAACAACCAAACCTCTCTATGGAAGCAAAGGTAGAAAAGGCCAAGTGAACTACACAGCTAACAAAGCCTGCCATCAGTCTGCTCTCTGTTCCTGCCTCTCTCTTCCCCAAGTGCCCCAGTACCCATTGACATTAATAATATTCCTTCCAACACTCAGCTAAAACAGCCACCTAGATAATTCCTTAATCAAACAACACTGCCTTCTTGAGTTTAAACTTTATTTTACAAAAAGAGAAATAAAGAAAACTGATAGGCAGTTATACTGACTTACAATTGTTCTGTTTGCTTTTTTAAAAAAGTGACATGAAACACAAGTAAAAATAAATATGTTATAGAAACAGCCAGTTGCCCAGTCTCTGCGGCAGAAGCGCCTGCCCTGCTGAGAGAGGAGGGAAGCCCATGATCACACCAGCAGCTGGACTGCCCAGCCACAGATGCTCCTCTAAGCCAGGCACAGGTCCCAGGCCTCAGGGGCGTCCTGAGGAAAGAAGACAGAAAACCAAAGCCAAGTACCAGGGCCTTAGGGCTACCTCATCTCCCTCCCCGCTCCCACCCTGGCAGCAGTGTGGCCTTAGTGGTTATCCATCGTTGAGACCCCCTCAACCCACCTGGACCTTCTCCGGTACAAGAAAAAGGTCTGTCTGGGGAAGGCTTAGGGGCTTTTTCTGGTGAGTCCCCAGCCCACCCTGAGTAATGCAACCAGATATTAGTCATTTTATATCAGGTGCACCTGAGCGCACACACTCACATACTCACACAGCTGGACTGAGCTCTCTCTTCCAGGGAGGGTCCTGGGTTAGGTCACAGTATGAAGTGCCCCTTTCATCTGAATACCATCCCCAGTAGTGGTAGCAAATTACCCAAACTGCTCCTTCCCAATCCCTCTGCACTGCAGATCACAGCCTACCTGGCTACCTCTCCCCACCACACTAAGTGACTACATCAAGTATACCTGCAAAGAGGGGAAAGGAACAGACTTGGGTCCCTGAAGAGCAAAGAAGGTAGAACTGCCTGCTGAAGTTCATCGTTGTAAGACTCAGGTATTCTTAAAAGGTCTAGAGCCAAGCTAGTGGCACAGAGCAGACACTGAGGAAGTCACAGTGGAATACACAGGGTGAAGAGAAGAGTTAGTAGGAGGGAAACTGAATCTAAAGGTGAGCAACAGAGAGTGCAGCATTCTCAAATAGGCCTTGAGGTGCTGATTTCCAGGGCATAGTAAGCAGAAGGACAGAAAGTCTTCTGGGGGTACCTTGAGGGAGTTATGACCTTTCAGAACTTTGGTAGGGGAAGAATCACCTAGCTGAGTGAAGACCATGGCTCACAAGGAAGAGTGTGGTCATCTGAGAAATCAAAAGGAACTTGAGAAGCAGGAGGTCATATCATAGGAACAGCAGAATAAGGAATGTAAAGCCCCAGAGGACCTTCCTCATGGGATGAAGACAGTTCCAGAGCAATGAATGCTAGCCTTAAACAAACGACACAGAGAGCCGTCCTCTGATGACAACTGGCTAATGACAGTCCCACCCAGATAGCTGAAATTTGGTTGTTTCAACTAATCAGCAAGACTTATTGCAGCTCTTTGCTTCATGCTCCTGAAGTGGGAGTTATGAATCATGAGTATAGAGTTTACACATTAATTCCTAGGCAAGAAAGTTCCAAGGACCAGGAAAATTGATGAGTGAGGAGATGAGATAAATGCTATGCATCACAAGTCTAAAGGAAAAGGGCTTCACTAATTTCCAATCTTCTGATAAAGATCTGATCCAATGGAGTTCACTTACTTCCTTTCTTAAATAGCTAGCCAGCAGTCTTTATCCACACAGACATTAAGAAAAAGAAATCAACCATCATTGCATACAATAATCCCAAATCACTTAGTATAATGTTCCCCAAGGTAAGAACTTAGGCCACCCCAGATGTATGAACTTGAGACCCCCTTGACAATATGCCATGGAAGATGAGCGAAAATGCCTAAGCTTGATCGGCCTTTCCCAAACCGTCAGCATTCCACCTGTCTATCAGGCCTGGATAATAAGCAGCAGAACCACCAAGTGTTTCTGATCAAGGAAATTAAAACAAGGTGCTCAAGCTCCAAGACACTTACTTCCTGCTTCCTTAGATGTTTTGTGTGCTCACAGATTTGCCCACCAGCACACATAAAGAGAACAAGAGGAAAATCAGAGAATCAGTATGTTTTCAGGTTCATTTAAAAAGGAACTGGTTGCACATCAATTTCCCATCATCTTACCTGTAGCCCTGCACAACAGGAGCTGCACAAAATCAGAGAAACCCTTTTCTAGACAGACAGGTCGGTCTTCCAGAATTATGGCCTTTACTGACTGAAGGGAAGACTCCCGCTCTGGAACTACTAGGTAGGTAGCACAGAAGCACTGCTCTCCAAACACCCATTTACTTTCTGGCAACGTCAAAGGCCTGTCCCTCTAGTAACTATATCTTTCCTCAGATCACACACACACACACCCACACACGCACGCACCCCTCTCTGGGATCCCTGTGCTCCAGGGGCCAAGAAGTATTAATGTAACCCAGGTTCTGAATGTGTTCTAATTGTAAATCCAGACTAACTCACTACTACTGCACTAGCCTCAACCTGAGAGCCCACTCCAGTTGGTGAAACCCTTTACCATCCATCACTGGGATGCATCTGGCCAGAGAAAGCACTAGTTGGAACTGCTATTTAAAAATTATTAAAACAATTTGCATAGCTATATTGTATATCTAAGGCTTCTATCAGTAGAAGAGTTAAGGGTCTGACAGAGTGCTTATGAAAACAAAGAAAGCTTCTTAAATTCCACTTTTGGTGTTACTGGACAGCATACAAACATGGGTAGACACACAGACACAGACATACACACAGACACATATATACACACACAGCAGCCATCTCCTGGTCTCTTTACTAGGAACAATACCCCCGAGTATACTAAGGGTCCCCAACAATGGAGAAACAAGCTGATCAAAAGAGGTACAGGAGGTTAAGCTGCCAATCACCTGGGCTAGGAAGAGGCAGGTGCAGCAAATGCCCAATCAAGAGAGAAGCCATGGGTAGGTGGCTCTAAAGCCAGCCAAAATTTGTTCATCAGAAAGAGCTACCTGGCAAAATATGAGAGAGAGAGAGAGAGAGAGAGAGAGAGAGAGAGAGAGAGAGAGAGAGTGAGTGTGAAAGGGAACAACAGTATACACCAATAGAAGACAGCCAGTGTTATGCTTAAGTACTAGATGCCCCTTCCCTGGCATTGTCAGCAAAGAAGAAAATACCAGAATGAATACTGTGTTCCTGTTCTTCTAAGACAAAAGCCAGACCTAAGGCTGCTACAGAGGAAAGGTTCCTTCTGGCTCCTTCCAAGATGGAGGCAGCAGACACCAGACCTACAATGTTTACCTGACAAGCTGGGGAAGCTATTGATTCCTAACAGGAATCAATCATCCACTCCCCCAACTCAGCAGCTGCATACCTACAGTTCCACTATTCAGCATAGAGAGCTGCCCTCTAAGATCATCTGAAGACACAGCTCCATATTTGGGGGTCATTTATTTCCCAATAGCAAACAAACTCCATGATCCCAAGTTTTGGATCTCTGTGGAATGAGTCTCAGCACCAGTCTCAAGATTCTCTCACACCCCGAGACCCAAAACATGGCTGTTTAACCCCTGGCTGATCCTCTTTTCCTGGTCAATTCAGCATCCACCCAGGATATTTTTTCACCAGGAGCTATGGGGTCCAGAATATCTTACAATTTCCCTCTCTACCTCCCACCCTCTATATCCCAAACCTCCCACCACCACCACCAAAAAAAAAAAAAAAAAAAAAAAAAAAAAGACACATCAAAAATCCAAATAATAAATAATTTCCCATAAGAAATAAATTAACATGGAGCTCTCTAACGTGGAAGGAGGAAAGAAGAGGAAAGGCCACCACGATAGGCAGCTGGGGGTTTAGTTCCGCCCTTGTGAATAATGTCTTCCAGCCACAACTCCATGACCTCTCCCTCACACTGCAGTGCTTTTCCCTCTCACTGAGGAGGGGAGATCTGCTCAGAGATGGACATGGGGAAAGAGACAGAGATTGGTAATGCCCATGTTCTCTCATAGTTTTCCCCAAATTCTAAAACAAATGTGGCTCTGAAAACCAGCGACTTGAGTTAGCTGAGCCTTCTTTTCACCCAGCTAGAAGGAAACGTGCGACTTCCATGGCTCTTCTGGGCTCACCTGGATGTTCCAGTAATAGTTGCCATGAACCACCACACTCTTGATTTCCATTTTAAAAAAGATAAATTCATTTTTTTAAATTTCCCCTTACTTCTTCCCTCCCTCCCCTCCCAACTCACCCTGCCATGTTACACACACACTTAACACTCGCACATACACTCACACATACCTGGTCTGCTTCCTTCCCAAACCCTAAAAAGACCCCACTTCACACAGGATCTCAGTCTGCTCCCTCTGCCCACCCTCCTTGTCTCACTCACCTTCCCGCCCTTCCTCCGCCCCTCCCCTCCCCAGGCCAAGCTAGTCACCTGGTAAGGTAGCTCTACTGGGAGAGAATGTTCCCAAAGCCAGAAAGGGGATATGAGCTTCTACACTCAGGTGGGCAAAACAGCAAGCAGACAGCAAAAGCTAGGCAGGAAGGAAGAGAGGCAGGCAGCTACCCTACCCACCCCCCCCATCCCAGTTTTGGGTCCCTGATTTCCTGCTATTGCTGCTCTGTTGAAATTTTTTTTTTTTTTTTTTTTTGCCTTTTTTGTTAAACAGCAACAGAGCTCTGCCACTCTAGCCAACTATTCTTCTTTGTCTTCTTCCTTTTCCATCTTGCCAAGTATCCTATTCTCAGGAGCCCAGATCACTGTTTTCCAGCATGGTGGGCAAACTGCTGGAACCCCCAAATGAGGTGGGGAGGGGCTTCCCAGCTATTTCCCAGTGACTTCTATCACATCGTCATCCTTATCCTCATCATCATTGGAGCTGAAGCCCACCTCAGCAACCTCATGTGAGTCAAATGGAGGCACCTGGGACCGGAGAAGGCCACCAGCTGGGTAGCCTGCATGTGGGGACATGTAGCCAGGGTAGACAGACATGCCCCGTGAGAGGTTGCTGGGCAAAACAGGGGAAGGAAAAGGCGCAAACATCCTCGGCTCGGACAGGAGTGGTTGTGAGAAAGGGAGTGAATAGCTGGGGAGTATCCCTGGTACAGAGGGGTTGAGCATGAAGGAGGGGTTGCTGGCAGTGACTGAGGTAGCCGTGGAAGAGGAACTGACAGGGCCTGCTGGCACCAGAGGGTCAGTAGTCACTGGAAACACCAGGCGGGCATCTGCCAGCAAATTGGACAGCTGGTAGTAGGATGGGGTACTACCCATAAACAGGGAGTTCTCCCCTGCCTGGGAGGTGAAGGGGGTGGTGAGGTTATGGTTTAAGGAGACAGGTGGCATGGCAAAACCGCCAGAGACTGGATACCCGTGTTCATACGGCTGCATGGGGGCTGGCAAATGGCCTTTCCTGGACCGCCGGCGGGATGACTCCTGGGCGGTAGGTGGAGTGGCCAACTTTCGTTTGTGGCCCCTTAAGTCCAGCACTGAGTGCCTGCCACCATAGGGCTGGCCAGTCACCAAGAGGGAACTATTGAGGCAATGACCCCCAAGCCGTGGCTCAGTTCCAAGAGCTGTCCCAGGAACAGCACTGGTCTCCATGAGTTGGGCTGGGGGGCCAGGTAGGGTGGCGTTGGTGCTTGGGGAGCTCTGCCGGGATTCCCGAGCAGCAGCCACATCTGCGTACTGCTGGAGCTCACTGATGATCTCCGGGCTGTCAGGAGAGACAGGCCTGGCCAGCCCATCAGGGTCTGGAGCTTTGGGTGATGAGGCACTGTGTCTGCCATTGCTTGTGGACTCATGAGAAGGCCCCTGGGAACCTGTGGACAAAATACAGGGAAATGAGAACAAGAAGCACAAGAGAAAAAACAAAAAATGATAAAAGGAAAATTTCTGTTTAGAAAAAGTCTTGTCATGTGGTCCCCACAATCCTACTGCATGATACCTAAACAATACCACCCAGGGACCAGGGATTTAGCTCAGTGGCATAAACACCTGCCTAGCAATGTGAGGTCATGAGTTTGATGCCCCATACCAAAAAAAAAAAAATCACCAACACCCAGAAAACTTGTTCCAGTCTCAATGAAAAAAAATCTTAAACCCAGAAAAAAGTCAATCTATGAAAAGTTAATTAACTTTTCTGCACCCCAGCTTCCTCAATCTGTAATATTCTAGCAAGATGAATCCCATTAGATAATGGATATGAAACAGTTTTTCTGGGGATAAGAGATAGTGATGGAGGGAGTGGAGGAATGAAGCAGTCCGATCCTGGTTTAGAAACAAAATAAAGCATTACATGCCTGTAATCCCAGAACTCTGGGAAGTTGAGGTGGGAGGATCACAAATTCAATTCCAGGCTGAACAATTTAGCGATTTAATGAGACCTTCTCCCATCCATCCATGCATCCATCCAACCATCCATCCATTAAGATAGGGTCTCACTATGTAACCCAGGCTGGCCTCAAACTCATGACAAATCCTTCAGCCTCAAGACTTCTGAGTGCTGGAATTATGTGTGTGCCACCACACCCAGTCCAAAAAAAATTTTTTTTTTTTTTTTTTGCCTTTTTCATTTTTATTGGTACTGGGGATCGAACTCACGACCGCCTGCTTGCAATGCAGGTACTTATGCCGCTGAGCTAAATCCCCAGCCCCTCAAAAAAATTTTTTAAAGGGTTGGGGAGGTAGCTCAGTGCAAAAGCCCAGTATTTAATCCCCAATACTGAAAAAAAAAAATAATAAAATAAAGTAAAATATACAGCTATGAAAGGCAAACTGACACAACTAGAAAATCTGAATATAGCCTAGACACCAGGCATTATTTCTTCTAATGTAATGATGGTGCTAGGGCCAGGACACAGAAACACCCTTAACCTTAAGAAGTGTGTGAAGTATCTAGGGATAAAATGATGTGTGTTCAACCTACGAATAACTTGATAATTAGAAAGGCAAAGGAAAAACATTGAAAGGCAAAGAAAGACAAGATGGTTTATAAAAATGGTAACTACCAGATCTAAATGCAGGGGACAGGGGCACCCACAGGGCTGTTTTTCAAGCCTGTTTAATGTGAAAATTTTTGCAATGCAAAGCTAGGAACAAGATTAGTCCAACTTTCACACCTCAGTGCTGGGAGAATAAATGAAAAACATTCCTATTGAGGAGAACCTGGCAAGAGTTCCTAACACTGTTAATATGCCACACATGCACATTTGTCCTGGTAATGCCAGTTCTAGGAATGTGTTCTGTAGACACACTGACACGTCTATAGAGGTAGAACAATAACCTCAATGTCCATCAACAGGCAACTCAGCAATGTTATGTTACCCCATCCAGTTTAAACATTCAATGAGGCAAAGAAACAATAGGGAAGAAGCTATTACTGGCATGTGAAAAAGGCAATAAACAGTATATGTTGGCACTTGTTTCAAAAATACAAAAAAAAAGCTACCTATTCATATACATATATTTTACACACACGTGTAAAATGTGTGTGCAGATGGACACAAAGCTCTATACTACAGACAGAATACTGCTGAAAAAACAAGACAACACCTTGTCATGCATAGTGGCTGTAATCCCAGCACTCAGGAGGCTGAGGCGGGATGACTGAGATTTCCAGTCCAGCCCGCCTTACATAGCAAGGTCAAGGCCAGCCTGTATATAGACAGACTCTGCATCTGCTGAAGAAGAACAGTAAATCCAGAGAGAAGCAATGGCTGGCTAGGAATGTGGGGAGAGAAAAATTTACTTTTTACTCCACTTCATTTTGTGTCTTTTAAATGATGAACCACATACACACTATGTATTTAAAAATAAGTTAATAAAAAACAAAACCAAACCAATTTTGTCATATAAGTGAATGGAAAGTTAGCCACCACACCTGAGGCAGCCATCCGACCATCTTCAGGGGCCTTTGGTTTGCCAGTTGCCCGGACAGCAAAGATCCGCCCATCACTGGTACGGATGTATGTCCCTAAAAAGAGAAAGCAGATGTTAAAAGCAGATGTGGAATGAGGTCACTCTTGAAAAACTCCAGAATTGGGAAGTAGCTATAAAAATAGATCTCATACTGTCTCTCAAGATACTAAGCTATGGGTCACCCACAATATTTATCTATTCCACAAACAGATTACTAGGCTACCAAGCATAGGAACAGTTCTAGTACTGGAGTACAAGCGACAAAAAAAAAAAAAGAGTCCAGTCTCATGAACTTAAGGAGTAGACCAGAATGCAATGGAAGAAATAAATAGAGCATTATCAAACAGACTAAGTTGCTGCCCCATACTGTCAGGTACTCTGGCCCAGGACCTCCTCAACATCTGGGAAGAGGCAGCCTTATTGCCTGAATGTCCTCTCACCCTTGGGAGGAAGAATTTAAGGCCTACATTCCTTATAAGGCACTAATCTACCTCCTCTTCAGTTCTGGCTATGTCATATATTTTGTGATATCAGGGCTATCTCTAAGCTTTTGGAACATCAGGGTTACCTCTAGACCAGGAGTTGGAAGACTTTTTCTTTTTTTTTTTTTTGTCTTTTTCCTTTTCATCGGTACCAGGGATTGAACTCACGACTACCTGCTTGCAAGGCAGGTGCTTATGCTGCTAAGCTAAATCCCCAGCCCTGGAAGACTTTTTCTAAAAGGTCCAGAAAGTAAATATTTGCAGCTTTATAAGTAAACTTAAGGTCTCTGTTGCAACTACTTAATTCTTCCTCTGTAACATGAAAATCATGAGGCACAATTATGCTCCAATAAATATTTACGGACATCAAAACGTACATGTCATATAGTAGCCACATATCATAAAATATTATTCTTTTCTATTATTATTTTATCTTCAACCAAATAAGAATATAAAACCATTTTTAACTAGCAGGTATGATAAAAGACAGTAGATAAAACTTGGCCAATGAATCACAGTTTGCCAACCCTTCTCTAAGACAGGAAGAAATACATGAAGGGGCTAGGTTCCACAGTAGGAATGGCCCAGCGAAAGGACAAGGAGAGCATTTTCATGTGTCTGTGTACTTCATGGTATCTTTTCAGTCACCCTACAGATACTCTAACCCAACAGAAGCTGGGACAAAAGCCTATGGAATACAAACCCTCAAGCAGCCACACTGATGGAGCTTAGTTAATGACCAATACAAAAAACAGACTTAAACTATGTCTTGACATTGCTTAGGCCAGATTTTTCAAGCCAGCAATCTTATCTCTCTCTGGAAGGAGGATGGAGACATGTGAACATTTTATATTATTACACTAGAAAATTTGATCATAAAATACCAACATGATACATTTCTTGGGATTCCTACTCTGCACCAAGAGATTAGATAAAAAAGACAGAATTCCACATATGTTGGCTTATGACCCATTCTACATTGCTTTCTTTCCAGTTTTGGTTTTCTGAATCCACCCATCCCCATCTCAAGATTCTCCATGACAAAACAGTGGCAAAATATATAAACATAAGAATCCTAAGTCCCTTCTTTTAAGCCACTGACTGATATCCTCTGGGTTTAACCCAACTCTGCTAAGTTCATTTCTATGCCATTTTCTCATGCTTCCCCTAACTGTAACATTGTTATACAATAACTCCTATAGCCCTCTAGTTCAAACCATATGTATTTATTCTATTTCCCAACCTAGCACTCTTAACCAAAGGTAGAGGACACACTTTTGGTCACGCTCTCACCTTTTGTCCCACGGATGATATGAATGCTCTCACCAGCATTAATTCTTGCCTGAACATCTGTGGAGCTGTTTAGTCCAGGAATAACAATATCTAGTGAAAGACAAATGTCAAATTTAGATTATATAGAACCAGACTAAAGAAGAAATTCACACATTTCTCCCAACCCCTCACTGGTTTCCCACGAGTCTCTGTGCAGCACACATTCAGACCTGGGGAAGATGAAATAAGCAGAACCTTTCACAGTTATCTTAACAAAGAATATGTAAACAAGGACATTTTTAGAAATCTGTTCAGCTTTCCAATCAATTTCTCTTGCTATAACAGGTTCCCTATGGGGCGGTAATTTGTACATCTTGCTGCCAAGAGGCTCTGATTTGAATTCAATCATCTGATGTCACAGAGCAGTGGTGGTGAAACTATGGCATGATGCCACAGCGGGCACACAAAGAACTCTCTGTCAACACATGAGTCAAGCTGCCCAGACAAAGACAAATTATCAGTGTGCATACAACAGCAAAATTACATTAATTGTGCAAAAGCATTCTGAATGCAAACTTTTACCTTTCAATAAAAATCTGTTTAGAAGGCAGAAGGATTGCTGCAAGTTCAAGGCCAACCTGGGCTACAAAGTGAGTTCAAGGCCAGCTTGAACTGCACAGCAAAACCTTGTTTCAAAAAGATACACACGCACAAAGACAAATAAATACATCAATAAGCAAATAAATAAATAAAATAAAAGTTGTTTATGGGTAGCTCAGCAGTGTAAGTGCTTGGCAAGTGTGAGATTTCCAGTTCAATCCCTGATACCACCAAAAAAAAAAAAAAAAAGCTGTTTATATCATCATTAAAAGGTCTATTACTGTGTTTTTTAAGACAAAAAGATGTTAACGTATGAATTGTTTTTTCTAAACTGTCAGTATTCAGGTTTAACTGTAGCGTTGGCACTTTGTGATAAATAAGTGGGTTTTGGGCTATAGTATGGGCACTCAGTCTCTAAAAAGTATTGAGTGTTATATAGCTAATACCTGTATATGCACTTTTTTCCTGCCATAAGACACTAAAACCAAAACAGTCATTGTTATTTCACAGCTAGATTATTACAGTGCAAATTTTCCTTTTATTATACTTTGATTGTTCCTTGGTGGTTCTTATTTTTGTTTGGGATCTTCATTTGTAAATAATATATAAATATTACTTTACTTGTTTAATCAGGGGGTTTTTGGTGTTTTTTTTGTTTTTGTTTTTGTTTTTGTTTTTGAGATGGTCTCACTATGCAGTTCAGGCTGGCCTTGAACTCACTTCGTAGCCCAGACTGGTCTCACAACAATCCTCCTGCTTCAGCCGCCCAAATGCTGGGATTACAGGAGTGCACCACTACACCCAGCTTGTTTTTCAGTTTTAAGGGGACTTCAATTTTGTAAAAATTTTTCCCATCAGAGTGTCAAACAGAAAACGGATGATTCATCAGATAAATTTCATCAGAGGAAAAGGTCACGACCTATCTATTACTCTTCAGATGAAGAAGCATTAGAGTTAAGTGAACATAATCTTGTAATCAGTACATTCAATGAACATAGTGTGAATCTGGATATAAATGTAGGACAATCAAGTAGAGGAATGGCAGCCACAACAGAAAGAAACATAGAATATGAGCACATGGAACTGCAAAATGTAAAACTTCTATTAAAAATATTAGTTGCAGTGATCCTTTTGTGTTGTATAAATTATTCATATCTGATAATATACTTGAAATTATAGTTGAAGAACCAAATAGACATGCCATACAATGCGGCCTTAGTGCAAAAAGGAGAAAACATTTACAATGCTGAGAATGTTAGGCCTAGCGAGATGAAAATTTTTATAGGCATATTATTAATTACAGGGACATTACCATTACCAGACAATTGATTGCACTGATATGAAAATAATGTGTATGCCAACAGATGTATAAAGGATTTTATGCAATGCAATCATTTTTTGGCTAATTTGAACTGTTCACATTTCTCTGACAATAATAAAATGTAAGAATCAAGAACCCTTTGAATAAATTTAGAAAAAGCATGAAAGCAATTATTAATACATTCAAGAACGCAGTAAAACCTGGAAAAAATGTAGACATAGACAAAAGTATGATTTTATAGTGAAGACACCCATGGGAAAATGGCACCAATACAGGATAAAATTACATAAATTATGTTTGCCTAATGTTTACACTATGATTCACATGTCTATGTTGGGAAAAAATGCAAACTATATGATGCAAGGGCATTCTTATGATGTTGTTCTGAAATAGTAACAGCTTATTATTTGAACATCACATTACATGCAGATAGTTGTTATTCGAGTATACCCCTAGTATAAGAACTTTTACAAAAAGAAATGTACTTTTACGATCAAATCAAAATTTTAACCAGTATAAGCAAAGACAAAGCAAAAATGCAACAAAATCATAAACTCTGAAAATTCTTCTGGTGTGACATTAGTTAAATGACCTGATAAAAGAACTGTTTACATGTTAACAACTTTTTGTAAAACTCATACATGTCCCCTGACCAAAAGAAAATCTGGTAACATAAAATTTGAGCTTGTTTTTGATTACAATAACGCAAAGAAAGGTTGATTTAGCAGACCAGATGCCATCAAATTATAGTTTCTTAAGGAAAACGTTAAAATGGCATAAAAAATTATAACCCAGTTAATTTGAGATACAGCAGTTGTAAATGCATATAATATACACCAGGAATGGGGTACTTGTAAGACTTCCACATTAAAATTTAGAGAATTCCTGATGAGCTATTAACCTGTGAAAAAATGCCACAGGCACAATAATTTGAAAAATGTTCACTTTATAGGAGCTTATTTAGGATCAGCAAGAAATGCATGTAAGAAATGTTAGAGAATGTTATCAAAAATTATTCAAAAAAATGAGTGTTACTGTGGACACAAAAAGGAGGTCAAATGCATTATAACATTTTGTATAATCTGTACAAGTCAGCTGCCTTTATGTATGTTTTGAAGAAATTCACAAATACAAGTAAATTTCTTTTAATTTAATGAAATAACTTTAATCATTGTAATAATTTTAACTAGATTTGGTTCATTAACAGACTTTTCATTAATCTTATAGTAAAACATTAATAAAAGCAATTAGATCCATTTGTACCACCAGTGATCAAGCTGTCGGACAGGATAGTCACACATGTACTGCTGGTGGTTCAAGCTGGTGAGAATGTGTTAGTTAGAAATTCATAAAGGTTTTGATTTTGAAAAACATTTAGTGGTAATGGTTATTTCTAGATAGTTTTTTTCCCCTTCTCCCTAAATTATTTGCGTGAATCTCCTCCATGTAATTTAGATTCCAAAAGTGGCTTCATCCTCTCCCTGCCGGCACTGCCCCACACCTTGAGAAGAGTGTTTTCAAGAGTCACAGGAAGTTAGGCGTGGTGGCGCACGCCGGAAATCCCAACACTCAGGGAGCTGAGGGAAGAGGATTATTTGGAGTTCGAAGCCAGTCTGGGCTACATAGTGACTTCAGGGCCAGCCTGAACTACATAGTGAGACCCTGTCTCAAAAAACAACAAATTGGTAGAGGAAGTTGGTGTTAAGGGACATTCTTTTTACTTGTTTCAAATTTTTTACAATGGACATGTACTGTTTTCATTCTCAGAAAAATCAAATAAGATATTTCCATGAAAATGCATGTATTAGGAGTATTTCTAAATTACAAGATGGAATACAGAAGCATTAAATGGCTTCCTTCTCAAATATTCTAATTCGCAGAACTCACTTCCAGGGGCAGATAAACTGCCCACCTCCCACCACCGCCCAATGCTCAAAATATATCAAACTCACAAAGGAAGAAGCAAGTGACAATGGAGGTCCTCTAATTACACAGGAAGGCCAACAGCCGTCCTTTATACCTGGTTGACCCTACTACAGTCAGGCAGGGCTCAACACACTATACCTCTGTGAAAACATCTGAGACAACCCACAAGTGTCCCAGTAAAATTTCCACAATCCCTATGGTACTCCGAAGACTCTACCCACCATAGTCAAGAAAAACCAGTTCTGTGGTATTATTTTTAAAGTATTTCAGCAGAATGTAAATTCCTTAAGATCAAGGATTGCTATATTTCTCCATTTTTATCTATAGCAGCAAGTATAGTAAGGTGCAGAATATAAAAGGTGCTTACTAAATACTTCCTAAATGAACAATGTCATTTTAAAAGGGAAAATACTACTGGAACAAAACCCAAGAGTTCCTGACCTGTTGTAGTGACCACTTTCTGGACAAGAACTCCTGCTCGCTGCAAGTAGTTGATCGGGAAGTTCATGGATGGATTTGTGCTGGAGGCAGAGCTCACACTGCCCCCAAGTGGGACGTGCCGCGGCATCATGGGGATGGGGGTGGACTGTACAGGACGAACACTGGCCACAGGCTTTTCATCACCCTTCAGTGTTGGCTGCCTGGAAGAGAAGACAAACACCAGTCAGAGAGTTGGGCAGAAGCTCTTCTCTCCAAAGGCTGTGGAGCCTCTCCAGATACCCCATTCTACACTCTTAGTTGCTGCTGAGAGAAGCATCAGGTCAATTCAAAAGGAGACTAGAAGCAGGAGTGAGACAGAGTCGCAGAGAAAGAGGTGAGGGTTAAAGTCTCTCAGAGGTAAGTAGAGTTAGACAGCAGTAGACTAGTGACACCTTTCTGGAGATGTGAGAATCCATCCGCTCCTCTAGAATATGGTCTATGTATATCAGGAATTTGTTCCTGAAAGGAAGTTAGGATGACACACAATGCAAACAGAAAAGAAAAATTCTTTCGACTAAGCACAATATTTAGGTGATCTTGAGAGACAATCTACTCCAACTTGTAGCTCTCCACTCTCCCTCTCTCCTTTTCTCCTGCTATAAGACAGAAAAGCTCAGGACAAAGGAGGCAAAGGACAGAGAAGAAAACATGCTCAGGACAACAGTATCTTAGAAAATGATATAGAAATAGGTCTGAAGGTTTTGAAAGAGAGTAACTTTGTACTTTAAAAGTATAATCAATTTGCTACATAAAAAGTAACAAATTTCACCTAGAGGTACAACTCAGTAAGAGAATACCTGCCTAGCATATGCCAGGCCCTGAATTCAATCCCCAGCATTGTAGAAAACAAATTTATTCACAAAAATTCAGTTGTACATATAAAATTTATGGTTTCCTTTTGTCATCTGCCAAATTGTTGTTGTTGGTTTTTTTTTTTTTTTGGTTTGGTTTTTATTTATTTGTTTTTCTTAGAAGACTTGAGGCTCCTAAATAGAAAAATGTTTTAAAATCTGTTCCTCTAAGCCTGTAATACCAGCACTTAGGAGGCTGAGGCAGGAGGACCCTTGCAAGTTTGAAACCAGCCTGGGCTACAAGGCTGGTCAAGGCCTTGCCTGAACTGCATAGTGGGACCCTGTCTCAAACACACAAACATAACATAAATTAATTAATTAAAAATTTTAAAAATCTGTTTGCCTAAATAAAATAATTAACTTTAATTCAAAAAATTAAGCAATTAAAAAATCTAAACCTACTCAGTCAGGCAGCAATGAGAGAAAAAATGACACAGATACCAGGTTTGTAATATCTAACAAAGTGCTGAACATCCATCCTATTCATATTCTCAACTGTTCTAGAAACTTCACTCAAGAGAAAGCTAGCAGAATTCCCTGGGTGCAATCCAAGGTCCAAAAAGAATACAGTATTCACCTTGAACGCCACTGCTCCTTGAGTCTAAAGCCATGGTGCTATGGCTAGGGTACAGCTGTGTGAACGAACTGGGCCTCTGTGTTTGAGGAAACTGCAATAAATACCCCCACACCACCACCACTGCCACCCAGAGTACAGGTCTAGAAAGATTCTCCCCAGTGACAAAGCCAGCAGTTCACTCTTCCAACCAGGGCAGGCAAAACCAGAATCACTTAATCAGGGCTGCTGATTACTTAGATACCTGCCACTTCACAATAGCCAGTGAGCAGGCTGATTAAAAAAGAAATCAGTTGAAAGGTTTTTGGGCATGATTTAACAATAGATTCTCACCTTTCAGCAACTTACCAGTTCCTCTGACTGAAGGCAGGGATGCTGGTCAGGCTCTGGTCACTGGCAGGGTAATATTGTGCATATGATGGGCGAGTATAGGGGACTGATGTGCGTTTGTCTTCCTCATAGCTTTTTTTGGCTGCTTTTTTCTCAGCCTTGGTCAGCTTGTGATCCTTTCGGTTGAGGAGCAATGATTCATGCTCAAAAGGCTCCTGAGGACACAGGGGCATGTTGATTTAATTACCAATCTGTGTGCCAACATGACTGATGTACAGTGAACATTACTTTAAAACTGAGAGGCCAGCTGTCTCCAGCAGTAGTAAAGAGCCTACTTACAGACACCCAGGAAGTTTGCTGTCTTTTTTCAAGAGTATAATTCCCAACTCTAACCTAGTATCAGCTTTTGACACACCAAAGCTTGCCTTCTGTATTAAAAGGATAAGGGAGTACAGTGAATAATGAACGACATTTTCAGAAGTCTCCCCTCCACCATTTCTGCAAAGGAAGCTTACAATAGCTAAATTATCCCACACAGCTGAGCTCACACTTGTAGGCCCAGACCAGGGGTAGAGTTAGGTAGTTGGGGGCCATGAAGGGGGACTACCTGGGACACAGAAAAGAACTAATTGAGCCCAGGTTGGCTGCAGGGAACACTGCTTCAGAGGATGGAAGCACACTTGTCACACAAGCCTCCCTTGGCAGAATGTTATGCCAGGGACTTCACACATATCAGGTTCTTACCTTGGTGATGAGGTGAGGGTACTTCAGACAGGCAAGTTGCAGCACTGACTCCTTGATCCCCTTTATGTTCAAGGATGCTTGGGGAGCTGGCTCCTTTTCAACAAAGTGCAGTAGGTTTTCTACTTCCTTCCGAGTAAAGTTCAGCATTGGATTTAGATCATCTACCACTCGATCTAGAGGGGAGAAGACATGGAGAAAGTCAACATGTGGCAAAGACTACTTCAAAGTGGGGCAGAGAGCAAGGAGATTGAGAGTGGCATAACTGTTACTAACAATGAAAAGTCACCTCACATCTGAAACCCAATGGACAATTCTATGACATAAAATGGAAACACCATAGGAGAGAAACTTGTGTAACAACCTTGGCTCTTATCATTAAACCCTCCTTCAACAAACTTAGATCAATCCCCTTTTAAGCAATGATTTGAATCAGGATGTAAAGAACCACTGGCTTTCTATGATTCAAAGCCTGTGTTCCTTCCTCCCACCACTGATGTTCTATGAAACACACATGTATAGATATGCCTCTGGAACAGTAGAGAAGACAGCCCACCTGACATGCCCTGCTTGGAGATCTGACGGTCATAGATCTTCTTTTCAAGAGTGTAATCAGCCACCAGGCGATAGATGTAGCAGGGCTTTTTCTGGCCATAACGGTATACTCGACATACTGCCTGGGCATCATGGCAAGGATTCCAGGAAGCATCGAATACCACCACTCGGTTGGCACCAATCAGATTCACACCCAAGCATCCAGCCCTTTAAAATACAAGCAAACAATCAATCACAGAGCCTTTATCAGCTTGCCTTCTGTGACTTCTACCCCAACATCATTCTTTCTGTCCTAAGCATAAAATCAAGGATTTTGCTTTCCTGCTGATAAATAGTATATTCCTTAAGCCCTAAAAAGTGTGCTTTGAAATACAACATAGCAGTGGCTACAACTCCACACCTCATGGTTCTTCACATCGTGGTCCCAGAGTAATGTCCCTTGGTAAGGGAAAATTTCTGTACACAGACATTTCCATGTTTTTACTGAGAGGAATGAGTTTATACCCTGCCACACGAATTCTGATCACAGAAGGCACCATAACCTTTGAGGTGCTTGCTGTCAGACACACAGGCCTCAGTTTTTCAAAGTTACATTGCATTTTTCACTTTTTAAACCATTTTCACATTCACCACATTGTCAAAGCCTAAGAACAGTTCTGAGATAAAAGCTAACTCTGAGCATTGTAAATGAAGGTGTAACAGAACTTTGAAACACTATGACTATCTTTCTAATACAACTTCCTTTTACAGTAGTGATGGCAAACTAAAAAAGCTTTCAATGATAACAAACAGCTCGCTGCAGCATATGTGCCATGGGTTCGCCACCACTGTTTTTTTGAGACAAGGTCTTGCTTTGTAGTGCAAACTGGCCTTGAACTCACTATGTAGCCCAAGCTGGCCTCGAACTCACAGTAATTCTCTTGTTCAGCCTCCCAGAGTGCTGAGATTACAAATATGCACCACTATACCTAGTTACCATTCTTTTAAATCTCTTCTCTGACCTCAAAAACAAATCACATACCCAAGCAGAGCTCTTCTGAGATTTGGGTGAGCCAACTGCTTGAACACATCCCCTGCCCTCAGCCCTGCCCACCTCGTAGAGAGAAGGAATAGCCAGGTGCTTCGGTTGCTGGGGTCATTGAACTGAGTAATGAGCCGCTCCCTCTCAAAGGCAGGGGTGCTACCATCCAGCCCTAGGAAGGAAAGAAAGCCATGAGAAGTGGATAGATGAAGACAGGGGAACTCAGCAAGATCACCACGTAAAATGTATTTAAATAAGTAAACAAACAAACAGAAAAACCATAGTCTCAAATCCTGCCTCCTGGACATACCACAGGATCTAAATTCTACAACAATACAGTACTCTCAGAAAAGTCTCACATGCAACAAGGATTATAAACTAAATCTCTCCTCAGGTGAAATCTAAGGCCAACATTCTTAAAATGAAGAGTGTACAAGACTTAGAGAACTGAGGAAATAATGGCTCAAGACCTCTGTCTCAGCCCTGTGGGTCTTGGTGGGTGGCAAAATTGTTTTGATATGGATACTGTTCCTCTGCTGACTATATGCATTTTTAACAAGTTCCTGAGACTAAGAACTAAAAGAAAACTTAAAAGAAATAGACTTGGAACAGAGGAATAGGACACAATAATGAAAGAAGGGAAACTCAAAGGAAGAGGAAAAAAATTACCTTCAGTTAAGAAGCAACATAAGAGAGGAGGGACAACATTTGTCACATCAAATAAAGGGCAAAAACATAGGGTATGAAATAGTAGGAGAACTGAATCACAATCATTGTAGGGGCAATAGTTTAATCCTCTGGTATCAGGGTTTTCAAGCAGGACCCCAATCTTCTATTCTGAGTTTTCACAATTTTGAAACACAGCTCTCCACTGAATCATGAGGCAGGCCTAATAGTAAAAACAAGCTTCAAGCAAGATCCTGTGCTGGGATCTCCTCATCATCCCCTGAACTATTACTCAAATCCTTCCTTTTGGCCAGAGATTCACAAAAAGGTGATTCACCACCCCACCCCCACCCCCACCCACACACAATTCTCCTACTCCCCTAAGGATATTTAGCAATGGCTAGAACTTTTGGGTTGTCAAAACTGAAGATGCTAGCCAGGCATGGTGGCACATGCCTGTAATCCGAGCACTTGGGAGGTTGGGGCAGGAGGATCGCTGTGAGTTTGAAGCCAGCCAGGGCTACATAATGAGTTCATGGCCAGCCCAAACTACATAGCAAGACTCTGTCTAAAAAAATGAATAAATAAATAAAAATAATAAGCAAATAAATAAATAATTGAAGATGTCACTGACATCTAGTGAGTAGAAACCAGGGATGACACTAAACACGCACAGTACATAGACAGCCCCTATACCAAAGTCTGGCCTCAGTGTCAGAGTTGAGGTCAGTATTTCTCAACAATTTTTTCCAATACCATTGCCCTAAAGAGCCAAATCACACCATGTCTTCCATGAAATTTCAGCTGTACTGATGCACTGTATCTCTGTTTATGTACAAGTATCTGTGATTTATACCCCTTTTAAAATTGAGATTTTTCACTCACATGCAACCCACATACACAAGCTCACACACATGCTCACATTTCATTCTTGTGAGATATTATCTCCCCAGCAAACAAAGCACAATTTAGGTTTATAGTCCCTCGGAAACTTTTACCTGTAACATCCCCAGGCCATCCAAGTTTTATATGTTCAAATTCTCCCCCATCTTTTCCAAAGGCTTTTCTATCATTCTTTCCACAGTGATTTTGCCCTCCTTAGAACTCCAGTTTGAGCACTTAATTGCCCAAACTACTTAGCATTTTAAAATTTTTAGTTCATTTGCAATACATAGTTATTATATTCATCATGGGGAGTTGATACACATACATAACACATCTTAGTTCTTTTTACATAACCACTTTCCTTCCTTCCCTTCACCTCCTGGCATTACTCAGCATTTCTTTCTGAGTTAGTACATCTCAAATGAAGAAAAAAATCTATGCTTTCTACTTGTCTATACTCCCTCTCTCTCCCAAGATCCCAAGCTCCCAAGCTCCTAGTACAGTGATTCAAATATAGCAGCTCATTCTTAGTAGCTCCCTGCTCCTTGGCTAACCCTGTATTTTTCTGCACACTTGCTTGAGAGTATTGTAGGAGAAAAGAAAAGAGAAGAGAAGAAAACCCTTAAGCAGATCTTGCCAAAGCCCCAAGAACAAAACAACAATGAACTCACGGAAGTAGCTGACATTTCGAACCCACTTCTGTGCTCCTTGCCCCTCTATGCCAGGCAGACAGGGAACTTCTCGTTTCCCTAGGAACTCCTCAATGAGAGCTAAGGTGGACAGGCTCTGGCTGAAAGGGAAAACATGTGATTCAGATGGCTCCCAGACTCAAGGAAATCTTGTACTCAAGAGGCTCACACCAGAATGCAAATTCTGACAGTGGGAGCTCCCCATGACAGGTGACTACCAAGAACAATCAAGGATATTTTCCCTAACTTATAGTGGGGGCAGAGTCATACAAAACTTATTGCCATCACCCTACTGCAAATATAGTCTCTCCATTCCTTACCTTTTTCACTGAAAAAATGCTAAGAGCTAGCTCAATGTTCAGACAGTATTACAAACTAACACCATATGAGTATACATTAAATTTCATTGTGAGCCACAGTCAGTCTTAGGGTTATTTCAGGGGGAGACAGAATCACTTGGCTGATTCTAAAATAGAGAGCCAGTCTCCTCAGGAGTGATCCTTAAAATCAGGGGAATAACCAGGGCTCTACTCCCACCCCAGGAATCACTGCTGGCTTCTCAAAGTATGTCACTTATAGAAGCCCCTCAATCGGAGGCTCCCACTATTGGGCTTTCTTTCGGGTATAATCTGGTCTTAATAAAGAAAGAGAAAGAAGAGAAATTAATAAAGAGAAGAAATTTTATGCCTGTTTTCCTGAGGAATTGGACCCTGAAAGTCGAAGCTCCGGCCAGACCAAAAATGTGACTCTGGACCCAACCACATCACTCACTTGGCTTTACATGCAAAGCTTTTGAGTCATGGACAGATGGAAGCAGATTAGATAAAGGGTCAGAAAATGTTGTCCAAAAGGACCAAATAGTAAACATTTTAGGCTTTGTAGACCATATACACTCCCTGCTGTACATTCTTTGAACTTTTTAATTTTTTTTTACAACCTTTTAAAAATGTAAAAACTATTTTTAACTCTCAAGCTGAACAAAAACAGGCCAGAGGCCAAATTTGGTCTGGGTCACCATTTGAAAGAACCCCAATGTCAGCCTAGCTGTCCCCTGTGTAGAAACTGTATTGGATACAGAAAGAAGCTTGGAGAGAGGAAGGAGGGAAATAGAGAGCGAGGAGGGGATGGAAAGGGAAGGGAAAGAATGGGAGTAAGGAGGGTGAGGGAGAGAGAGAGAAGATAAGGTTCTCACAGTAAGAGCTTGGTTGCAGGGGCAAGGGGCAAGAGAAAAAGGGGCTAGTGTGAACCTAATTGGCCTCACTCTGCAGGGGCACTGTTAAACCTCACCAAAAATATGGCCTCAACTTGGAATTTCACTTTCTACCTGAACACAAGGATCTTGTCCCCAAGCTTCACACTTTCCTCAATCAAATGGAAAAGGAGTACCATCTTGGGAGAGTTCTCTAAGACTCCAGTTTGATAGTTAGTCAGAAGGTCCTTAGCCTGCAAAAGAAAAACAAAGTAGCTTAAAGCAGGTCTAAATCCAGATGACTACAAATAAAATTCTCTCTCTCCAAGGCAGTGGCCTACTGGCCATCTTTACAGCCCCCTACAGACATTGGCAATGCAGTTCACTGTGCTCTCCTAGCTCTCCCCAGGTGAGCATGCACCATCCCTTCTCAACAGTAGTTTATGGCTACTAATGGATCTGCTTGACTCACCCATTCATATGTAACAATATTGTTGCCTCGCTCCTGGAAAGGGTTGAAGCCAACTCCTTGGAGGAACTTGCTATTGGTGGCCTCTCCCACCGAGGAAACCAAAGTGCTATCCTCGCCTTTGACTTTTGTTCCCTGGGGTGGGCAGCGGACACTGGTCCCAGCTGAGCCGAGCTCTTCTACATCTAGGTCTTGCTCATTGGCCAGGCTCTCCTTCTGAAGGGCTTCATACAACACATCAGGATGATTCCAGATCTGAGATTAAAGGAAAGGGAGACAGGATACAGGACAGGACACAGTCCAAGGTTGTCCCAGGGAGTCTAGAAACACGCACTTGCTTAAACACACACCTTCCACAGAACACGCTATCATACCAAAAATTAATGTGCCCCTAATCATTCCAAAAGAGCCAGCATATTAAATCTCACTATTAGCCCCAATGACTGACACAAGAAAGGGAAAATTCTTAGCACATGGCAACACCAATGTGTTCGGTATATAATCAAAAAGCTGTGTCACAAGCTTTGCCCTCCTTTTTTAAAGTAAGTTTAATATTCTTATTCAAATGAAATTCTGTTTTCACTTCATGGCCATTAACTTCTCCCTATGAACAAAATCATCTGACTTATAGATGACAGAACAGATGTCATTTCAGAGACTATTTTTGGCAAGAGTTCCTAGGGAAGGGAAGGAAGGATATACTAGCCCTAAAGCACTGTCAGAAACCACTTGTGTTTTAGTTTCCCAGCTCTAGACTAAGATGATGGCTACAAAAGAAATACTTTGAAAGTCCATTATTTTCCAATGACTTATTGAAGTAGTGGTCAATTAAGAATAGCACCTACCAAATCTGCTGAGTGTAATCAGAAATACTAAGTCAAAGAAACAGGTCCCTCAACAACAGGATGAGAGAGATTTCAGCCTGATCACACCAATATATCAAATGGTCCATATTCCTAACCACTTAAGTTATGTTTATTGAAAACTGATTATACTAACAATCAAAAATTCCACCACCATAATATTCCACTACAACTCCCCTTTCCAAGTTAAAAAAATTTTTTTGGGAGAAAGAAAGTGATTTTTCAAGTTTGGCATAACAAACCGTGTGGCTGAATTGCACTGCAGTAGGAGGCATCACACTACTTCTGAATGGCAGCCCCGGAAATTACATGGCACACAATCAGCACATCTCTCTGTGGAGCCCCAAAGAGGATTCCCATGCAGTTTTAAACTGAGTAGCTCCTCTGATTTTATCCAGGTCTCCCAGCAGGAAAAAATCCTTGGGGATCATGTGCATCCCTGGTTCCCATTCCAGTTTTTCGTGAGGCCCCTACATACCTTGCAACACACACAGAAAGCCTTGAGAGGGTTCAGCCCCAGCCAGCCACTGCTCCCACAGTCTCGGAAGCGGTCCATGAACTGTGTATACAAATCTCTCTGGATCTTAGAGAGTCGCACCAGGATCACATTCTCTTCCTTGGCAGGGAGATGAATCTTCAGCACAGTGTGACCTCTCCTGCAAAGGGAAGGGGATCAGCAGTGACTACAAGTCAATGCAAAATAAAAACAGGGCCTTGCACTCCTATCACACCTCTCTCTCAAAGGTTTTAATAATCTGGCAAAATGCAGAGTTCTGCACTATGAGAAGAAACTCATCTAAGGATGAAAACTAAAGCAAGGAGAGAGATGGACTTGTCCCAAATCACGACTGACTTGGTGCAGGGACCAAAGGAATTGCAGGGCCTACCCCAATTCAGAGCTGCCTCTCTGAACTTTTTCTACATGTGCCAACTTAACAGGGAAAATGAAATGAAAACCTGTTTTTGACTAGTGTGAGTTATAGGTACTGATGCTGAAACTAGTAAAGCCAAACCCCCAAACCACCACTTCTACTTTAACCAAGTTAGCTCTCACTTGCTTTGCTCAGCAAGTAAACCAAGGTATCTTCAGTAACTTAAAGATAGATTCTGAATAAAGTGCTTCTACTCCAAACTTTCAGAGGATTGAAACACTTGATATCCATCATCTGCTAGTTATTTACACAAAGGAAAGTTTTACTACTGCCCACTAGGAAGGGGCCATGTCACTCTAACATCTGCCCTTCATAATGGCCTTGACTTGCCCACAGCACTTGTGAGGACTTGGAAAATGGGCCTTGAGCCTGACTTACCTCTGCACAAACCCCTCCAGGAGGCTGTGCAGGACATGACTCCGATACCGCATGAGGCGGACATCCTGAGGTGTGCTGTCAATACACTGACCATTCAGGATTGGGCGCTCAAACATGTTGCTGAATTCTTGCCGTGTGCCCAGAAAGTCTGGGCGCACGAAGTCCACCATGCACCAGTACTCGATGAGGTTATTCTGCAGGGGGTACCCGGTCAGCACCACCCGGCGGCGAGAGCGTATGTTCTTCAGAGCCTGGGAAGTGCTGGCCTGGCAGTTTTTGATGCGGTGTCCCTCGTCACAGATTACCACATCAGGACCAGGGCGGCATAAGGCCTTCTCAAACTCTAGGGAGGGAAGAGGATCCGGAGTCAGAGGGTAAGAGGGCCTGCTCTTAGTCAATAATATGAGAAGTAGGGGAGCACCCTGGAGGAGACAGAAGAAATGAAGGAAGTAGGAAAGCAAGAGTCAGCCCCCATTGGTGAAAGGGAGCCAGCCAACCAAGCTCCTACATGCTTGATGTGACACTAACCTGGCCACTGACCTCTGCAGTAAGTGTCCCCTAGCCTTCCTTTGCTTTGTCCTGGCTCCTTCTGAGGGCTGCCTGGTAGGAGCCAGCTAGAAGATAAGGTCTTCCTGCTGTTATTCATTAGTCACTGTTAAATGGCAAGTTCACCCCAGATCTACCACAGAAGCAAACCTACAACAAGCAATCTCATGGACAAAGAGACCTATAGAATAAACGGTCTCTAAACCCTTAAAACTTTCTTCCTCAAATGGGCAAAGATTCCTTGAGTGGGGTGGGGGATGGATTAGGAGGTGGTGATAAAAACAGAACTATGAGTGGAATGGTTTTCACTAAAAGCAATTCCATAAATTTACAAACATTTCTACTTTCCTGTACTCATATGAGTGATTTAAACTCTGTAAATATTTTCTTAATGCCTTCTCAAAACATCTCTAGAAAGTATAAATGGAATAGTTACTCTCCCCTGTTCTGTGACAGAAACAGGAACAGACGGAAGTTTCCCCTCAGGGTGGTACTAGAACTCATCTCACCCACATTAGAGACCAGGATTTCTGGTTCATAACAATTCACATCAATAAAGCACTTCATATCTGATAAAGTGCTATTAGCAGACCCTATTTCTTATTTCCTGAAATGCCCCAAAAGTATTTCCAGAATAGATGGCCCACCTCTCCGAAACTCCTGCTGTCGATCTTCCTCATCCAGATCAATGATAACAGGGTGAGAGCGTTTCTTGGTTTTCTTAGGTCTACCTGTAGCAAAGGATTTCTTCAAAGTGAGAAGTCTGTACATCTCGTACCCCATCAGCAGCACCCCTCCCTCTGAGACCCAATCAGCCATCACTTTAGCACGAGATGCCATTGTCCTGCAAGAGTAAACAGAGAAAATTATATTAGATGTGAATTATGTATCAATAAAGTTTTTCTTGCTTTCTTAAAGGTATGGGCTGAGGATACAGGTCAGTGGAAAGGTTCTTGATTTCCTAGCATGTACACAGACTAGGGTTCAATCCTCAGTATCAATAACAAAAAAAGAAGGAGGAAGAGAAGGAAGGAAGGAAGGAAGGAAGGAAGGAAGGAAGGAAGGAAGGAAGGAAGGAAGAAAGAAAGAAAGAAAGAAAGAAAGAAAGAAAGAAAGAAAGAAAGAAAGAAAGAAAAAGAAAAAAAGAAAGAAAGAAAGAAGAGAACACGCATTACTGCTTCTGCTGCTCCTCAGAAAGAATTTCAGAACTCCTTGTGGCAGCAAGGACTGACTGGCCAGCTGTCCAATGACTTTCCAAGCATCCTAGAAATACTAATTGTACTGAGGATGCATTTGATTATGTTTTTCTTTTCCAATCAGATTTTATTAGTACACTTTAGATTATACAATGATCACATTCATCATAGAGAATTTGTATCTGTACATAATATAACTTGTTTTTTTCCATCTCATCCCCCTACCCTCCCTTCAACTCCTTTTCCCTTCCCCATTTATAAAACTTTGTTTCCATTTTTCTTTTTCTTTACTTTTTCTTTCTATCCTTCCCACACCTTTCCTTGTTCCCCTCCTCATCTGAACTATTTTCTTCCTATTTCACAATACCTATTATACATTTTGGTTCTTATTTACACTTCTGGTTTCTCATATCAGAAAAACAATGTGACATTTTCACATGTTCACTTGATTACTATCCATGGTTAAACAGCAAGAAACAGTAATTCAATGAGAGAAGGCAAGACAAAAAAATGTTATCTCCCTTGAATATACACTCATGACTACAATCCAACATTTGAGAGAGTTCTTCAAGTTATTCCCTTGATAAACACAAAGTAACTGAAAGAAAGGCAGTATACCTACCCTTTCCAGGCTGTAGTACATAGAGGACAATGAAAAACAGTAAAAGGGCAAGAGCAGCAGAAATCAGATGACCTAAAGCAGTATCACACCACCCCTAACCACCTGAGCCCTCCTTTTGTTTCATTAATCACATGTAGACTATAAGTCCTGAAACCTAAGAAAGCAGTGTAGGTGATCAACCACTTGCTGGGTCATTCGGAGTCTCCAGAAAACAACATCTACCTTCTAGGTTATCTATGTCAAGAAGCAGCTTTAGATTTTTGGAAATCAGGTTGACAGTACAGAATGGAAATATAAATAATTTTATTTATGGAAATATAAATAATTTTATTTAAGCCTAATACTAAGTTTACACCTTTCAAAGGTCTGCAAGTTGTATTATTAAAAGTCAACCGGGACTGGGGATTTAGCTCAGCGGCACAAGCACCTGCCTTGCAAGCAGGTAGTCATGAGTTCGATCCCTGGTACCGGTAAAAAGGAAAAAGACAAAAAAAAAAAAAAAAAGTCAAAAGTCAACTATACATGAATGGCTATAAAATGATATTAACAGATTTCTAAAAAAGATAAATGCAAAAAGTTAAAAGACTGAAAGTTCTATTCTATCATGCTGAATTTTATTACGATGCACATTGGAAAATGTACCATGGCTTCATTTTTCATGCCATAAAAGAACCCTAAAGCAGAACACCAATAAGAAAACCTCCCAGGCTGCATAACTCTGGCTTCACTGAACAGTTTTAGGTAAAGGAGAAAAAAAATAAAATGAGTAGCAAGAACAGAAAGAGGGATACATCAAGAAACCAAAGGAATCTGTGAGGATGATGTACACATTCAAATAGACTGCCCGACAGCTGGGTCCCTGAGAGAAACCTCGAAAGAAGGGGCAGAGAGAGGAGAAGGCAGGCCACCTACTTGTGCTCATCGTTCAGAATGTGAACTTTAAAAAACCGAGGCTGGACTTCTTCGGGCTTGTTGTCAGCTGGAAGGGCTTCAGGAGCTGGGAGCCACATGTTGAACTCTGCCAGCCAATTCTGGAGGGTATTAACCTGTCAGAAAGCCAAGTTCAAAAAAGCATTTTAAGGAACAAGCTCAAAGCTGAGCTCATCAAGATTTTTAGTGCTGAACAAAAACATTAATGCAGAGTTTTTTAGAGGGATAACTAAGCAGAGTCTTCCCCAAAACTCTTACCGGCACAATGGCAAGGACGGTTTTGGCTGGCGTGTGGCGAAAAAGAACATCAATGAAGGAGATCACTTGCAAAGTTTTCCCCAGACCCATGCTGTGGGCTAGGATACAGCCAAAGCCACTACTGGTCTTAAACCTCTCCAGGGACTCCACCAAGTTATCATACAGGAACCGGATCCCACCAATCTGACCAGGGACAAACAGAAAAGTGTGAGAAAAGCTGGCAAAGACCAGCACTCTGGTGTTATTCACTTAGCAATTGGTAGAATTAAGTCAGTGTGCAAGTATGATAATAGATAGCTGGTATGCAATAGACTTTTTTTTAGTACCAGGTATTGAACTCAGGATCTTGTGCTTGTCAGGCAGGCACTTATGCCACTAAGCTATATCCCCAGCTGTCAGATAGCTGGTATGGATGAAGAAGTTTCCCTGTACCTGTCTAGTCTATTGGCTGGTGCTGTGATACTAGAGAAAACACAGAGAAGCATTCAACTGGTATAATGTCCCATCTGATGCCAGACTTTGCAGTACCAAACTTCTAACGGTCTTTCATTCAGCCTGGCTGCCCTCAGCCTTGGGGATGGAAATACCTCTGGGAAGCCTATTACAAAGAGTTCTTGATGTGAAGTTCTAACTTGAGCCAATTTGTGTCTTCATGGAACTTTGACTCACTGGTCCTCAGTTCTAGGAACTGGACCAATGCAAATTATTCTGTTCCCAACCAGCATAGGGGCCCTCTAACATCTGACTCTAACATCTCTTCTGAATCCATGCAATCCTAATTAATGCACTACTTTCCAGAAAGCCTCTCAAGCTCCTCCTTGCTGATCCCACAGGAGAAGGCACAAGACTGTTAGGCCAAAACCTCCCACTGACTTCTACATGACAAGGGAAACCCAGGGCTTGTCTCTTCTCTTTACCTGCCCTTGTATTCATGGGATCTTGAAGAATCAACTTCCAGGAGGAAGTGTCAAACATTTTTAATAGCTACTCATAAGGTTAAATAAGTACTTCATAGACTTTGATGCTAAAATCACCAGCAGACAATGTTTCCACAAGGAAAGAGATAAAAAAGGGGAGGAGAGACAAGATCTGTTGTACCTGATGAGGTTTCACAGCTCTTGCCAACTGTGGGGCCAGGAAGACATTCTCCTCCTCTGGAGGGTGGTTGAGGTTGACGAGGACTCGCCCAAGAGCATCATGCTGGTTTAAGGCATCATTCACATGAGTGCCACCCTTCTCCTCTTCCTCGTCCTCCTCGCTAACAGACTCACTGCTGTCTACAATGTGCAGAGTATCCTCCTCTCCAGAGCTCAGTTCAATCACCTCTGAGGCAGTGAAAAAAAAAAAAAAACCAAGGAGCACAGATTATTTATTGCTGGTTGTTAAAGTATAGAAACTCAGAATTTGCCATCACTTATAAAAACTGAGTTTTTAAAAAAAATTTCTCTTTTCCACCTTCCTTTCAAGATAAGGAAAAAGCTAAAATTACTAAGGTAACTCAGAGAAATCTATCAAACCTAATCCCCAAGCCAGAGAAAGGACTGAACTCTTCCCAAAGGGCAGCTAATCTCAAGATAAACATCCAGTCAGAAGGAAAGGGAGGCATCTCTGGCTTGATCTTACCATCTCGACTGCTTTTTTCATCCTCACTGCCACTGCTACTGTCCAAGCAAATGACTTCCTGGGACAAGACCCGAGGAGGCAATTGAGGACCATCACTTGCTCTTAAGACAATTTCCTCTAGGAAAAGAAAGAAGGAAAGGAATGTCAAACCACATTTAGCTCAAACATTTTTCCCAAAATGATTCATCACCCTGCCTTTGCTACTGTCATAGGAAATTTCCACTGGGAAGAAACTCAGATGGCATCTCAAAACATCAGGCCTCTTTCCACATTCCTTTTCTCTACTAATGTTTTCTTCCTATCTACCTGATCATTGGAAAACGTACTAATCCCTCGAAACATTAAGATTCAAAGCTACATGCAAAAATCTCAATAAAATCAATCTGTTTATCCATAATTGCACCCTCCTTTCTCTGCCATTTTTTTGAGACTGGGTGTCCCTATATAGTTCAGGTTAGCCTCAAGCTTGCTACATACTCAGGCTAGTCTGGAGCTAACAAGCTGAATGACTTAATGGACTCCTGAGAAGCCACAATTTTATTCCATATCTGTGTTTGACCACTGTAGGAGCCCAGGGCCTTTTCTGCCACCTCTTCTGCTCACCAGGGAGGAACTCCAGGGGAACAGTAGGAATGGGAGCTGCATAATCTTTCCTCTGCTGTTCCAGGCGCTTCCTCCTTTCCAACTCTTCCTGCTGTGCTGCTTTGGTAACAGGCTCCAACTGATCCTCCCGGAGTAGCTTTCTAAAAGAGAGAGACCACTTGAGTTTACTTAAGATTTCAGCCATGGTTAAGGGGGAAAAAATGGTGTCAGCAGTGTAATGGCGAGCTAGAGAGGGAAATCGCCATTGCCAAGCTCAAAGAACCAAACAGAAGGAGAGCCCACTTCAGCCCACCAAACGTACAAAATGGGCAGGATAGGGGTGGGGGTTGACTTCTGGTGGTTCTAGGCTAACATATTTTCCATATTATTTAACTTCTTGATAGCCATCCCTGTCATCTTGTCTCTGCACATAACAGATAAAGTAAAACACAGTATCATTCATAAAAGTGAAAGTATTAAAAACAAAACTGTTACATAGAAAAGTAAAAATATAGGGATTCTACATCTTTACTCTCAAGCTTAGAGTAATACTTTCAAGCTGCATATATGTTTTAAAAAAGAAAAAAGGAGCAGGAGAAAATGACCACTTATTTCCTTTCAGTGGCACTCACTATTATTGGTAGAGGAAAGGATTGTTGGGGATTTGGATAATTAAGTTCACATTTGCTCAAGACAGAAGACCTGCTTTGAGCCAGACAGCCACTCCTTACCACCAATTTGAAGTTGCTTTCTAAAAACAATTTTTAAATGTTTTCTTGTTTGAGACATAATGAAAAAGAAACAGAAAGTCTATGTGAGAACACCCTATCATCCTTGGGCCACCATTCAAGACTCCTCAGTGGTGATCAAGGCCTTTCCACAGCTTCATTGCATCCTTAAACAGTCCCTCTCCGTGGTCCTAAACTCATCTTCTCTAGGAAGGGCACATAACTGGGCACTTCTTCCTTCAGAGAGAGGACTGTTCTATCCAAACCAGTCCTGCTACTGCCAGCCTTACAACAAAGTTAATACCTCTACCATGCACCTCTCCTTTTGACCATAGAACAGCTCACCTTATGTTTCTCCTCATGTGAGAGGGCTTCTGGGCTCTCTTCTTTTTGGGGTCCTCAGAGGCTAGGATCTTGCCTTGGTGGTGCCTAAGCTGCTCTGAAGGCTCAGACTGAGATGAGGTAGTTGAAGTGCACCGTGGTGGTCGCTGTCCATCTTCCCCCAGCTGGGCATGCTCAGAACCACACATGCTTTCCAGGGATAAGTCTGAAAAACCAAGGGGAAAGACATGACTTTACTTTGGGGGGAGCAGGAGTGATGCCAGACACACCTGAGTTTGAATTTCAACTCAGCAACTTATTAGCTGGTAAACTAAGGCAAGTAATATTTCCTTTAACATTGACGGATACATAGCTATAAAATGATGACAGTGATACATTTTAGAGCGGTCATGAGGATTAAATAGTGTGCGTGCACCTAGAACCAAGCATGGCCCACTACAAATGACAGCCTGTGCTTTTACAATCACTTAGCACTACAGAGAGAAGAGGCTTCACAGTCTCAGGATACAAGAAAGGCACAAAGCCTGAGCAGCTGTGTTTCAAATGCAGCTCACACTCACTGTGTGACATTAAACAAGTTCCTCACCTCGTGTCTGCCCACAGGGAGAATATCCCTCCATGGTTTCCCTGATATGATATGCTCAGATATGTGCTCTGCTAACTACAACATATGTGTGACCAAGGCACTGCAGTTGAATCTGGACCCAAGTGAAGCAGGAAAGGTGGTGCAGTACTCAGCATTTGCACATGAACACATGAGTTTGACTAGGTTTTAGTAGTGACTCAGTAGTGGAAGGGCCTTGACCACCACTGAGGAGTGCCTATGTAGTGGGTTCCAATATTCCAGATCCTGGAAAGCAACTACTCATTGAAAAGCAGAGAATATTTTTTTTTTTTGACTGATTTGTTTCGTTCTTTTCTTTTTTAACCCCCATTGGCTTTTGATGTCTTTTCCTCCTCCCGCTTCCCCCTCCTCTTCTTCCTCCTCCTTCTTCATTCTTCTCTCTGGTTTTCCTTTTCTTCTCTTTTTTTCTGTTACTTTTATCTAAAGCCTATCAATTTTCTTTTACTCCTTAAGATAGGATATTTTATTTCATTTTTCTCTTCTTCTCATCTTCCTTCCTTTTATTTTCCAATTTTTTTCTTTTTCCTCCAAAATTCTATTGAAAGTATGGGCAGTGGAAGTAACCAATGTGAGGACAGTTTCAGAAAGCAAAAGTTTGATGCAGTTGACCATATATAATATTCAGAGATACCCTAAAAACAAGAGAACATGGAAAATGGATCCAAAAGAGAAGTCTAAGATTAACTGAATTAGAAAAAAACTAGATGGGGGCTGGGGATTTAGCTCAGCAGCATAAGCGCCTGCCTTGCAAGCAGGCAGTCGTGAGTTCGATCCCCGGTACTGATAAAAAGGAAAAAGACAAAAAAAAAAAAAAAAAGAAAAGAAAAGAAAAGAAAAGAAAAGAAAAAAACTAGATGATATGAATGACCTAAAAAAAAAAATCTGCTTAGGGCGGGTAGCTCATTAAATGTAATCCCAGCACTGGGAAGATTGAAGCAGGAGGATCACTGTGAGTTCAAGACCAGCCTGGACTACAAAGTGAGCTCAAGGTCAACCTAACCTGCATAATGAGATCCTGTCTCAAAAAGACAAAAAAAAAAAAAAAAAAAAAAAAAAAAAAAAAACTGCAAGGATAGGGAAAAATTCAACATACAGGTAAGCAAAGCATATGCAGCCACAACCTAAAAAGAACTTCTTCACGACACATCAAAGTCAAAAACCCAGAAGTCCACCCGGTACAAAAAAAAAAAATCATCTACAAAGATAAGCCCATTAGAATTACTGTAAATTTCTAAGTACAAATGGTAGAAAATAGGAGGGAAATTCTTCAAGTCCTGGAAGAAAACAACTTCCAACCCAAACTGATATAGCCTCCAAAACTATCTTTCAAAATTGATGGAGAAACAAAGTCTTTCTAAGACCAAGAGCACCTTAAGAAATTCATGACTACAAACCCAGCAACCAAAAGTTTTCTAGGATATCCTAGAAATACACAACGAAGCCAACATTGCTTTAAAAAAAAAAAAGTCTACTAGAATAAAATATTCTAGGTAGGGTGACAGCTAAGCAGAAAAAGAAAAAAATCAGTAACAGGAAAATAATGTAATAATATGCATAAGTCAGTAACTTTCAGTAATAACTCTTAATGTGAATGTTCTCAACTATCCAATGAAAACACAGATCAGAAGATTGAATCAAATACAGGCATACTGTATACAAGAAACACATTTAACCCAAAAGGAAATTCAGATTAAAAATCAAAGGATGGAAAACATGACTCCATGCAACAGGAGTCCCAAAACAAGATGGTATAGCTATCCTACTCTCAGACAGAGTGGGCTTCAAATCAAAACTGATCAAAAGAAGCAAAGAGGGGCTGGGGATTTAGCTCAGCAGCATAAGCACCTGCCTTCCAAGCAGACAGTCGTGAGTTCGATCCCTGGTACCAATTAAAAAAAAAAAAAAAACGAAGCAAAAAAAGGTCACTACATATTGGTTAAACAATTAAACAGGAAAAGATAACAATTATAAACATACGGTGGACCCTTGAGTTACAACCAGCCTCACATACAACAATTTGGGTTATGACTGGAGTTTTAGGTTTAACTTATGACCAAAGTCTTGAGTGATGACCCAAATACTAGCCACTTGTGCAGTTGTAAAAAAAAAAAAAAAAAAGACTCAAGACTGCAGCACTTCCAGGGAGAACCAGCAGCAGCTCCTGAGATCTGCGCCATGTTGGAACTTAGGATGCTGGGAAGCCAAGCAAGCATCTCCCCTCCCTGGTAATTGGTGGCAGTGTGGCAGACTGCGGCCCTTCCAGGGGGAGAACCAGCAGCATCTCGTGAGAGCCGTTCCATGTTGGAACTTAGGACGCTGGGAAGCCAAGCAAGCATCTCCCCTCCCTGGTAATCGGTGGCAGTGTGGCAGACCGCAGCCCTTCCAGGGGGAGAACCAGCAGCAGCTCCTGAGATCCGCACCATGTTGGAACTTAGGACGCTGGGAAGCCAAGCAAGCATCTCCCTTCCCTGGTAATCGGTGGCAGTGTGACAGACTGCAGCCCTTCCAGGGGGAGAACCAGCAGCAGCTCCTGAGATCCACGTCGTGTTGGAACGTAGGACCCTGGGAAGCAAAGCAAGCCCCTCCCCTCCCCTCCCTGATAAGCAGTGGTAGTCTGGCAGACTGCGACCCCTCCAGGGGGAGAACCAGCAGCAGCTCCTGAGATCCACACCATGTTGGCATTTAGGATGCTGTGAAACCAAACAACCAGCCTGCCTCCCTGCTAAGCAATAGTGAACCTACTGATGCACGGCCTATAGTCAAATATCCCACTTTCCCTACCCCGCTTCTCCTGCATGCCGCCGCCCCCCCACCGCCTATTAGCAAATGGGAACCAGAAATCTGAGTGTCTCCTGGGAGGTTGACCATAGCAAATAAGGGGGACTTCCTTCTACCATCTCTTTGAAGGCAAATATTTTTATTACTGTTTTGCTCTTTTCTGATTAATGGTACTGCTCTATTCAATATTCTGTTTGGTAAGTTCTATAATGTTCTATATTTCATCTCAATCTGATATACGTGATTGAAAGGACTATTATAAAGATAACAAAATAAAATAAAAAAAAAGACTCACAATGCCAGAAAAGTATACATAAGTGTCAGACTGAACCCAGAATACAGTGTTTGTGGACGTGATTTCAGTCACTGCTTTACGTAATCACTACAATTACTGTATTAAAATGACCCCCAAAAAGCTAGAAAGGAAGCTAAGAAAGAAAGGTAAGATAAAGAAAGCAATCACAATCAAAAAGAACAGTGTTAAAGACAGAAACAGACAACCTTAGATCTGTTTGTTTGTTTGTATGTATGGATGTACATACATACATATGCATGTATATATGTATCTATGTATGTATTTATTTGAAATAGAATCTCACTGTGTAGATAAGGCTAGCCTTGAACTCATTGTGTAGTCCGGGCTGGCCTCAAACGTGTGGCAATCCTCCTGCCTCAACCTCCTGAGTGCTGGAATTATAGGTGTGCGCCATCATGCCTGGCCTAGACCAGTTTTTAATTCTGACACCTCGTGAGCCAGAAGCAGGTCTTAGGAGGCTACAGACTTTCCCAAGGAGAGAAAAGACACCACAGAGCCAAATCTCTAATGTTCTTCTGAAAGGGGACTCTGCTTCCAAACAGTAACCACCTCCATTTCATCCTCCCTTCCTGCAAGCCAAAGATGTCAACTCGAATGGTGAGTACAGTATGAAACTGTTGTTTCTGGTAAACCATACACGTTTTATAACTTTTTGGTGAACATATTAGGAAAATTATTGGTGTTTCTGATAAATTATGCACATTATACAACTCTTTATTAGGAAAATGTTAGTTTGGGGGTGTGTTGGGTGGTTCAGAATGCATTATGGGTATTTCTATTATTTCTTATAGGTAAAATAGTCTTGACTTACAACCAACTTGAGTCACAACCAGCCTTCATGTATGAATTGAGCTCGTAAGTCAAGGGTCCACTGAATATGCACCAAATACTTGTGTACCTAATTTCATTAAAAAACACTATTGAACTTAGAAGACCAGATAACATTAACACAGTTATAAGGGGGGGGGGGTCTCGACATCCTATTATCACAAACAGATCAACTAGATTAAAAAAATTAACACAGAAATATCAGACTTGAACCACAACTTTGAACAAACGAACTTAATAGAAATGTACAAAGTGTACCACCCAAAAAGCCCAGAATATACATTCTTCCCAGTTGCATTTTCTTGAAAACAGACCACATACTAGCCCATATAGGATGCTTAAATAAAAACAAAAGAATCAAAATTATTCCTTGTATATTATAATGCACTAAAACTAGAAAGCAATGGCAAAGAAAACCACAGAAATTATGCAAACTTATAGAGATTTGATTTGATTTGATTGATTGATTGATTGATTTAGTACCAGGAATTAAACTCAGGACCTCCCATTTGCCAGGCAGGCACTATGCCACTAAATTATAATCCCGGGCCCCTACACAGAGATTTTAAAATACACTGTTAAATAATCAGTAAGTCACAGACTAAATCAAGGAAGACATTAGTTCCTATAACCAAATGATAATGCTAGTACTAGAACC